ACACAAAGCTGGCTACAAAAAGAAGCTCGATGTATGGGTTCCTCATGAGTTGAGCGCGAAAAACATGATAGACCGAATTAACATCTGCGATGCGTTGCTGAAACGCAATGAAATCGAGCCATTTCTGAAGCCAGGATTGACGCCGAAAAAGGTGATGCTGTGTGTGTGGTGGGACTGGAAAGGAATCGTCCACCATGAGCTACTTCCAGTTGGTCAGACGATTGATTCTCAACTCTACTGTGAACAATTAGAGAGATTACGCCAGGCAATTGAAAGAAAACGGCCCGAATTGATTAATAGGAAAGATGTTGTCTTCCATCATGACAACGCCCGACCACACACTTCTTTGATGACCCGTCAAAAATTGCGAGAGCTTGGTTGGGTAGTTTTGATGCATCCACCGTATAGTCCAGACATAGCACCCTTTGACTATCACTTATTCCGATCTCTGCAGAACTCTCTCAATGAAATTAAACTGCTTTCAAAAGAAGCCTGTGAAAACCACTTGATTCAGTTTTTCAACCAGAAACCACAGAAGTTTTTTTACCAATGGCATTATGGCTCTACCCGAAAAATGGCGAAACATTGTTGATAGTAATGGAACATATTTGGTTTAAATAAATTCATTTTTACACTACAAGAAAATCAGTTGAATTTTGCTAAAAAAACGCCACGAACTTTTTCCCAGACCCAATATATTGTCAATTTAATAACTTCGATTTTTTCAACATCCATTGCAATCTTAAACAGTTTATGGACATTTTAAAAAATCAGCCAATCTCTAGATTTTTTATTTATATACATATATAGGATGTATCTCAATAAGTGCGAAAAATTTTAGGAGATGAATTAGGTTTCATTATTTTTTATATTAATAAATATCCTTTTGATTAATGAAAAATATCTACCAAGTTTCATTTTTTTAACTTGTCTGAAATTTGAAAAAAAAAATTCCTCCTGGAGGGATATAAAAAACCCCCTTAATTTTCGACACAGAATCATCCCCTAAAATTTCTCGCCCTTACATTCAGATACACCCTGTATACAAAATAATACTTGTGAAAAATAAGCTCTCTGCTCCTCTCTAGAATAGAAAAAAAAATAAAATAAATAAAATAGTAGGTGATAGATATTTGTATTACTGTTATTATTATTACAATTAACGCTCGTTGGGGACGCAGCTTAACGGGATGCAAGGTAGAGAGAGGGAGGGTTCAGAAAAGCCCGTGCGAGATCATGTGAGAGGTAGGGTGTCGGGAGGGAGGAGAGAAATCCGGATCTCCATCGCGGTGCCACGTCGCCACCCCGAAGAACACGCTCGAACGCGTTGCGTAATTAGCGACTGCCTCCCCGGTTTCGTAGGTGGGTGGGTGGGTGGTCGGTTGTATCCAGCGGTGTGGCAGGGATCCCCGGAGGAGGGAGGGGGCGGAGGGGAAGAAAGAGAGCCCCGGAAAGGGTCGGCGAAGCGCAACCCTCGGAACCCGTTCTCGTGCGCGACTTGCGCGCGCTGAAAACGTCGCCGCGTGCGGAAGGTACACGTGCGCGATATCTATATCGGGGTGTTTCTTCCGGCGGGCGGGTCGAATCTTCGAAGGGGGACGCGTACTTGGATCTTCGAAACGGATTTTAAATCCGAAGAAATTTATCATAAGAATTTTATTAAAAAAAAAAATTTGTATTACACGTGCAGGAAAAGTGGCACTTTGTGTGCGTGTTTTCTGTGCGGAAAGCGGCCGATTTCCCACGCCGCCATCTAGCGGCGACGCGGTGAGTGAATAAGCCGCGTTCAAAGCTATTGCCCACGACTAAAATCCCTTTCTTAAAATGCCCACGATTTCACTCGTGACCAATTGTCAACTTTCCGCACTTGATACACAATATACTATTTTACACTTCTCGAGAAGTGGAAAAACACTCTTCGCGAGGAAAAAATTCGACGTCAGCCAGGATCACGGACTTATATACAGGTCAGGACCATGGATTTATGGATGTCAGAACACTTTTATATCGACTACATGTCAAACGTAACAAAATGTAACTAATATATAGCTGCCAACTCAGGTCGATTTATGCAATGTGAGCCAGCGCAGATTTTATTTTGACAGTTCTTTGACAGTTTTGTGTTAGATCTCGTGCGCAATAGGAAAAATGTTAAAAATAAACACGGTTAAAAATGATTTCAAGAGGCGATTCTGAGTTGGTTACATTTTTCCTACACTTCATTTTAATGAGTGTTTTGATCTGTATATAAGACCGTGGTCAGGATCGTCTCCGTCGACGCGGAGGCCAATGACGTTGTTGATACGTAACGCGCGGCCATTATCGGGGTGAAAATATCGCCCGGGCGTTTCTTGGAAAGCTTCCGATTCAAGCGCATGCACGCCGAGTTAAGGGCGGATTAGTCGCCGATCTGATTTCTCCGAGTAGAGAAGGGGTTTTAGTCGAATTATGCGGCTCATGGCGTCGACACTAATCCTTTCGAAAACATCCTATATATAGGAGAAGAAGATGGAGGTGGGAGAAGAAGGGGAGAGTGTAAAGGGGGGTTGCGAGCGTCGTCGAGACGCAATTAATGCGGAAACCAAGCGCGGACTCTAGAGGGAGTTTCGAGAAGGGCATCGCCTATGCTGTGAGACGTAATGACTAATTGAGATTGGAAAGAGAAGAGCGAGCGAGAAGAAGGGGGATGAGAGAAAATCGGTGAATAGAAGGGGGTTAATACGAGCGTTGCGTGGTCACGGTAAAACGCGGGTTTTCTCTTTCTCTCCTTCCCTCTCGCCGGATATCTATAATCCCTCCTTTGCTATACCATCTAGGACCTGTGACAAAGGATCACTCGCTTGCAGGCGTACCAATGGAATTATGAATTCCTCCTCTATCAAGACCTTCTCGACGATTCTGCACGATTTTCCGCGCGTATCATCGATCGCGAGTGATTTTCTTCGCAAGGCGCACAGTTTGCAGTAGAACAATTTATATTCTTTCCTTCTCACACGATTTTCATATTCTTCTATGATTTGATTTTTTTTTTTTTATACAGATGTATCGATTTATTTTATGCAGGATTGGGTAATAACTAGTTATAATTAGTTAAAAGTTGAAAAAAGTTAAAATAAATGGATTATTTTTAAATTAAAGTGTTATTAATTTTTTTGTGTATTTGTCATCAATTGTAATTACCAAAAAATATATTTCTGTATAATTTCAAAATTTCTTTCTTACCTTTTATTATAATCTTGAAAGGAATTAACAAACAAAATTCTAATTTAATATAAATGTGTTTAAAAATTAACTTTTGATTTAACTTCAGTTAATTTAATCTCAACTTAACTTGCTGTGCTAATTTTTTGTTCATGCAACTTTCAACTTAACTAAATTAATTTTATAAGCAACTAACTTTAACTTAACTTAGTTTGAAAAAAATCATAAACTTACCCAACCCTAATTTGATTTAAAATTTTCTTTTGTGTCAAATTTTGAATAAGTGTATATATAAGATTGATTAGCAGAGACTATTGTAGAATTTTTTTTAGAAAATTCCGAAACGAATAAATTTACTCTAAATAAATAAACAAAAAAAATACATTTATAATTTTCAACGGAATGAATAAGATATGCGATTAAAATGCGAACAATTATAAAAAAAAAAAAAAAAAGATTTCTTTCAATGACTTTTATTTCGAGAAAAAAGATTCGCGCGCCGATCCGAACGATAATAATTAAATGCGTCACTTTGCGGAACGAGCGAGTCATCGCGCGGATTCGCGGTTTTCACACGCACATACATCCACAGATACACACATCGATCGCGTTCCCAGAGATAGAGTGCGGATTGTCGCAAGACGAATCCGCGTTTCGGGAGTTAGCAACCCCTCCTCGAGGCGTAGTCGTCGGCGTTTCCACCGAGTGTCTCCATTCCGCGCACCGGCTCGTCAGAGAGAACATTAAGATAATTACTTTGCAGAGGCGGGATGCGGCACCATTGTCGCGTTACCGCCGTCGAGAATGGCATTACGCCATTGTCGGCGAAGAAAGCGCGCGCGGGCTCTCTCGCACTCGCGCACTCGCGCACTCGCGCGAGTCGGTGCGGGAGCGCGCTATTCTGTATATAACTCGCGGCGATAGCGAGGGGGTGGCTGGGAGGGTGGGAGCGTTACGCTTCCGCCGAGGTGCCTCCGCTCCCATTCGAAGGGATGTTTTCCGACACGCGAGAGAGCGAGGAGGAAAGCGAAGAGGCAGCGCGCCCGGGGTTGCTGCTCTCTCTCTCTCTCTCTCTTCTCCCTCTCTCTCTCGGCGGCGACGCCATTAATGTAATTATTTCCATCGACTGTTCCGAAGCGCGACCAAAGCGGGGTAGAGCCGAGACTCCGATCGGCGCGGACTGCGATAAAAGGTATCTTCGTATCTTTCGGAATAATCAAATCGCGGTGACATCGCGTTTTTTATTTATTTTTTTTTTTTTGCGAATGGAAAAAAGACGAGGGTATCCGGACGACAGAGCACGAGGAGGGAATTGTCAAACGCAGGACGCGGACACCTACAATACGTTGAATTAGGGGTTGAAATATGCTTTCAGAATATTCTTCTCTATGTCCTTATATAGAGGAAACTGAAACGGGGGTGAAAAAATTTACGTCGGAAATGAAAGTGTTTTTTAATAATTTTTATTGATTTTTCAATATTAGAATGTAATTAAAGAGAGAAACTTGGATAAATATATTTGATTATGCATCAAATCAACATTGCGATTAATTTCTATGCAGATGTTGAAAAAATGTCAAGACGATGATATAAGTATGATACCTCGCATTAATGAAACAGAAGCATGCATTCGAAGTTGCTGACTTCAGTGTATCAAATTGTAGGCTAGACGTTTCTTTCGAAATCCTTTTCTAAATCTCAATGTGATCTTTTCAATTAAACCTCCTTTTATGATTATAATGGAGAACGCGAGGAAAGGATGAATCATTCTTAAAGTCTCAATTTTTCAACTTCAAATCATGTCCTTCAAGGATACTTTGATCCAAGAGGATGGTTTCGGATTTGTACCACGTGGAACCGAATCATCAAAATCACGCGAGATTGTCAGGAGGTGTTGCAAGACTATTGTTGGCTATTTCAGTGGAAATCTTTACAAGAATAAGCAAATCTAATAAATGAAAAATGCTTTCGATTTTTCTTCGATCAATGATTTCATTTAACACGAACATTACGTCTTGCAGATACACTTTGACAAATAAAAACGAGGGAATTGTTCGTTTGATATCTTGGGGTGCTAGTATTCAATCGATCAAAATTCCTAATCGAGATGGGAAACTGGCTGACGTTGTTTTAGGATTTGATGATCTGGATGGTACGTAATACAAACTCTTCATCATCTATTTATATTGCAAATTGATTTTTCACTATTATTGTTACTAATATATTTAGGATATTTAAAGAACAGATATATGGGAAGCATCGTCGGCCGCGTTGCCGATCATATTTCAACGCACTGCGACAACCAAATTGATCCTCCGACGATTAACAAAACTCAAAAGGATCGTCTCAATGATGACGCGATCGCGTTCGACAATGTTAATTGGCATTCGCAGATAGTGAACAATCAAGTGGTAGGATGTAACTTATTCTATATCGAACTATAGCGAGAAACTGTAAAACAATTATTGCATATTTTTATTGCATTCTTTGACGAGGTGATGTCGCATTTGAGTCGAGCCGACTATCCTGGCGATGTGTTAACGCAAATTAAGTACACCTGGACGGATGATAATCAGCTTCACATTAATATTCGCGCCACCAGCACAAAATCCACCCCCATCAATATCACGAATTTCTGTTTATTCAATCTCGCCGGACATGTAAGAATGTAGAACTTTGATTTTATCTAGATTGATGAGTTTTTATCTGGTAGAGAGGACTTTGAAAGTCTTTCAATGTGTACAAAATAATATATTTGAATTATACTTTTTTACGATTTAAACTTTAAATACTTGGCAATTTTTCGAAAATATAGAAATTTTATATACAATTTAGAAAAATTAAAAAGGAGGAAAAATTAGAATATTTAAATTTAGATTTCTCAATCATTGCATGGAGAGAATTTTCTCTTAGAATTTACCCTGAAAATCATGGTAATCATGGACAATATAGTACGGGAGGAATTTTATAAGAATTTCTCTGATTAATATTTATTATAATAAAAAATATTAATATGTACACAATAAATTTAAATAAATATAAATAATAAAATATTATAATATTAATAAATTTTAATAAATTGTCCATGATTTTCAGGGTAAATTCTAAGAGAAAATTCTCTCCGTGTGTAGTTTTATTTAAATTTTGTTTCGAGAATATGTTGAAGTGGCTCGATTGTAGGGCACGGGTTCGAAGGAATTGAAAAAACATGTCCTCATCATAAATGCCGACAGTTGGATTTTCACGGACGTTGAGAATCACTTGCCAATCGGTATTATATCTCCGGTCGATTGTACCTCCCTCGAATTGCGTTTACCAGTTCAGTTGAATCAACGTCGATTATTCGACGTACCGGGTGGCGGTTACAATCACAATCTGCTCATTAATAGTCCCAGTTGCTGGTGCTATCGTTTTCACGCACGGTAATTTTTTTAGCTTTCTGTAGATCTGTACATTTTAAAAAAAATGTACAGAATTTTTAAATTCTGTCTGGCAATTCTCAAATATCTACGTTTTTATTCTGTACATTTTTCTTCGATTAATTTATTTCGCCGATGCATTAATACAGAATTTTGCATCCCACTTCCGGACGATTTTTGGAGGTCTACTCGAATCATCCTGGATTGAGGGTCTACACGGGTAATGAGTTGCCGAATTCCGAATATGTTTACCCTTCTGATTTAAAGGATCAGGAACGGGGAGACCAGGATACGCAAATTGATCCTTTAGAAACAGTAAGACTGAACCGAGTTTTGAATTTGCTTTGATGAAATCGATTTCTTTATTTAAATGGCTGTTTAAAGTTTAATTTTTTAAATAAAATTTATACTGTTGCTTTTCTCGAAAATAGAAGGTTTAAATACACTTTTTGGAGATTATTGAAATTATTACATATTTTGAACAGCTTGCTTTGATAAAATCAATTTCTTTATTTAAATGGCTATTTAAAGTTTGATTTTTTAAATAAAATAATTTGTAACAGCTCTTTAAAAATTAATATACATATAAAAGGCAATAAGAGCTAATTAAGTTCTGTTATTAATATTTATTTGTGGAAAAAAAATTTTTAACATAAAATATTAGACAAAAAAGTTCGAACGTTTCAGTTACCTTTTTCAACCTTCTTCAGCGCATCATTTAAAATTAAAGATTAATAAAAATTAACAATAAATTATTCATAACTGTCAATATACTAAAACTATACAGAAACAGAGTTATTCGCATAAAACTACGTCAAGATATAATTTTTATAAAAAACGAAATCAATTTTTAAATAAAATTTATACTGTTGCTTTTCTCTAAAATAGAAGGTTTAAATACACTTTTTGGAGATTATTGAAATTATTACATATTTTGAACAGCTTGCTTTGATGAAATCAATTTCTTTATTTAAATGGCTGTTTAAAGTTTGATTTTTAAAATAAAAGTTATACTGTTGCTTTTCTCTAAAATATAGAAGTTTTGAATATACTTTTTGAAGATGATTGAAATTGTTATATATTTTGAACAGACGATGAAGAAAGTCGCGAAGAGGGAAGCGATGGAAATTTATGGTAAAGAAGGCATCCCCTACCGTCGTCATGATGGTTTTTCTTTATCACCCCAAAATTATCCTAACATTATTAATGTCAAATCTTTTCCGTCCTGCATGTTGTATCCTGGAAAAATTTATGTGCACGACATGACTTACAAGTTCGGAGTGCTTTCTAAAGATTGATGTCTTTCTCAATTTATTTTTCAATGCTTGATTTTTCCCTTTATATATATAAACACATTTCTTGGAGTAAATTTTATGCTCCAAATTCTTAAATATAAAATAATGATTTAAATTTATTTAAAGTCGGCTATAAAGAAACGAAGAAATGTAAAAGCAGTATTTGAGGATTTCTGTTTTAAATAAACTTTATTCACACATTCTTCTATATATATATATATATATATATATATATATATATATATATAAAATACCAGTTCTGGTATGTTTTTTAGTATTATACATAATTAAAATAGTTACTATATGTAGGCACGAAGTAATAACATATAATAAAGCGATATATTTACGAAATTTCCTTTGAAATTTCAACGTAATAAAATGTACCGATTTTGTACACAAGACTACATTCGTGCCGCAATTATTTCGAACTAACATTTATAAATATATAAAGCTATATTTGTTTCTGTTTACACGTGCGTTCGCTCGCTTAAAGTTACGTATATAATAATCTAGCGTTTGTACATCTCTAGCGTGTTATTACTTCTAATCTAAAACCGTATTACGTAACAATATAGGCAGTAAATCGAGAGAACGCTTTCTTGGTGACGCGCATAGAATTGCTGAAGCATCTCGGTGATGAATGAAAAAGTCAGCGAATGTAAAACTCTGACAATTCAAAAAAAAAAAAAGATAAGGCACTCGATTGGCAGTGTAGGTATTCTAGATAAACTGGCAGTTGTTAAAAAACTATTATTGCTTGTAAGTAAAACATTTATTATCTGGCAGTTAAATAATGCGATTTATGCGCGAGTGAACACAAAAGATTTAAAAAAATTAGCTCTTATTTTTTTTACAGACTACGTTCCGTAATTCGCGCCCCTTCCGCATTTCCGGTGCTCTTAATACTTTACCGTAGCTTGAAATATATAATATAATTCGCAAAGAATTGACTAAAGAAAAAAGCGTAACGCGCAGTGTCGGGCAGTGTTTTCTCACGCAATTCGATTATCCTCGATCCCTCGATCGATCTCATTCGACTATGAGATGGACCGTGAATGTCAGTGGTTTCTCCCATTCCGTTCTCGTCACCGTCGCATTTTCGGGACGACCGTGGATGACTATGTGAAATTCGCCGGGATTTTTCAGTCGGCGCCGGAAATGCAAGGCGGAAACGCCGTGTTCCCTGATGATCTCGAAGTGTCCGTCATCGTTGCCTCGCGCGATAGTGTAATTCATGTTCTCGCCCTGCGAGATGATAAGAAAATTGCACAATAAAATTGTCCATTTAATTAATTAATGAAACGAGTAATTTAATTAATTAATTAAACGAGTAATTAAATTAATTAATTAATTAAACAAATAATTTAATTAATTAATTGATTAAATTGGAAAAAATGAATGAATTGATTGATTAAGAATTTTTATTCAGACAAAATCTGAACTAACTGAAATTTTCTGACACTTCTTTTAGCAAAAATTACCTTGATCGCGGATTGCAGCTTGATAATCCGTGTGCGATGCCTCGTTTGACGTAGATTGATCTTAAGCGCATGCTCCATTCCGTGATGATGCCTCTTCGGCCTGGCGTTTCGACGTTTCTTCATTATTTTGTTCCTTCTCGCCTTCATCTCTTCGCTCGCGAATCTATTTCTAGCGCCTCTTCTGTGTCGTCCATTTCCGTTTATCTAATTCAAAGAGACCCGTGTTATCTCATTTATGCCACGATCGAAAAAGCAAACGTGATATACAAACCTTGCAGGAGAAACATCCTTCTGTAGAAATCGTCTTCTCGTCGGCTGGCGGTATGTGATAAGAATCAGGATTGATTTGGAAGGTCGGAACGTTGCCGATGTCTTCGTCGTAGCGTCCTTGAGACAAGGGATTAATGGTGGACAGACAGTGACCCTGCAACAAATTTTTAATATATAAATATATATTTGTCTCCAAGACATTTCACATTAGCAATGCAATTAAAGGACAAACCTGTCCTATTCGCTGATAACCGGTGGGACAGCCGCAAATAAATCCGCTGACTCCATTAGGGGTGCATCCGAAGGAGCAGGGACTGCCGAGACATCCTGCACTTACCTTTGGAAAATATCAAATTTAATTTATTGGTCGAATCATTTTAAGAAATATTTTCAAAAAATATAGAGCGAAAAGAGAGATTTAATATAATTATAAACCACAAACGTCATACCTGCACGCAGATCGCCATATTGTTATCGAATTGATAACCATCAGGACAACCGCATTTGTAACTTCCAATTGTATTGATGCAAGTACTGTCGCCGCAGGGCGATCCGTTGCATTCATTCTCGTCTACGCATTGATTGTAATAAAGATGCTGGACAAAGCCATCCGGACATCCACAACGAAAACTGCCCATAAAATTCTGAAAAATCGATCCGCATTATTTGTTGTGCGCATTGATAATAGTTTTGTTAATATTAATAATTAATTAATCGATTGATTAATAATTAATTATTGATTGATTAATAATTAATTGTTGCGTGTTATTTACCTGACAACCGTGTTCACAACTGTCGTCGTCGGCGCATTCATTATGATCGGTGCAAAATCGTCCTGTGTGATCCAGTTTGAACCCTCTGGGACAAATGCATTGAAAGCTGCCTAGAGTGTTAATACATCTACCAGGTTTCGGACAAATTCCCGATTGTTCGCATTCGTTTATATCTGAAGAAGAAATTAAAAGGATATAAAAAGCTCTTATTACAATTACAAGCACATAAAATTATTTCGTAATCGTAATTGGATAACAAAATCCTTTATTCGCAATTAAATATTTCTTAAGGTATTAATTGTTGTTATAATAAACCAAAAGAAGAGAAATGAAGAAATTTATAAGCAAACCATGGCAGGCGTCTCCTTGTTGATTGTAGCCTTCTTGACAACCGCAAGTGTAGCTTCCTGGGGTGTTTATACAATTCTGCTGGCACAAGTGACTCCCGGTCGCGCATTCGTCAAGATCCCTACAGCTGAGACCGTCAGGGTTCAAGATAAAACCAGATGGACACGAGCAGATGAAACTGCCTTCGGTATTTTGACAGTTGTACTTGCACGGCTTCGGCGTTAACTCGCATTCGTTAATGTCTGCGGGATTTCGCGCAGTTCAGTTATCAGTTTAATTTTTTAAAACTAATTATTACATATCCCAAAGGGAAATGCTTACCGATACATTGAATGCCAGATTTGTCGGCCTTATAGCCTTTGTTGCAGATGCATCTGTAGGAACCCAGAGTATTTATGCACAGACCGTTTCTGCATAAATCAGGTATAGTCTTGCACTCGTCGATATCTGAAATTTTATATAAAAACCGAACAATGAGCATGTCAAAAGATAACAAATAGATAAAATATCGCCATACCTTGTCCATTGACGGAGAAACCTTTGTCCAAACAGAGCTCGTTGTAATTCTCAGAATCCCTCGACGGACAAATTTCGCAATGTGGCCCCCATGCCGCGCCCATGGTGCAACAACAATCAGCTTTGGTGACTGTACGCAGTTCTGACGTTCTAGCGGTACATCTACCACCGATTGTTTGCAGGAAACAATAGCCGACCCTTCGGTCTGATAACATAGAAAAAAACTGATAAAACTTGTCTAATATTTTTATTTATTTTTTAATCTAATTTTGCACGCTTTTTATACCGATACACGACTTCCCGTCCAAACTTTGCTCAAAACCATCGTGACACAGACACTGGTAGCTTCCCTCCAAGTTGACGCAACGACCGTGTTGACACAGACCGGAGTTGATAGCGCATTCATTTATGTCCTTGCACTCGTCCGCCATTCCTATCTGCTGGTAACCAGGCGGACAGATGCACATGAAAGTGCCGATGAGATTTTTGCACTGGAATCTGCAGTCGTTCGCCGGTGTCGTGCATTCGTCGACATCTGGAATTCATTTATATAGCGCGCAGGATTTCGATTTAATTTTAATTGAAATATTCTGGCAGAGAATTAATTAGATTCAATATTTTAATAACACATCTTTCTTAATTACCCACGCAATGGCGGCCGTCAGGCGCCAGGGTGTAACCATACGGACAGATGCAGCGGAAAGATCCTGGCGCGTTGTGGCACCGGAAGGCGCACTGATTCCCCATCTCCAAACACTCGTTGACATCCTCGCAAACCTGATTGGCACCCGGCGCGTAACCGTCGTTACACGAGCACTCGAAACCGCCGTCGATGTTGCGGCAAGTGCCGTTGCCGCAGATGTTCTGCACACTCAGACACTCGTTGTGGTCCACGCACCGTCTTCCACCCTCGTCCAAGACGTATCCTGTCGGACACTCGCATCGGAACGAGCCGTCTGTGTTGATGCATTCGCCACCGAGACAAGCATCCGGCATAAACAGACACTCGTTCAGATCGACCCCGGTGTCGTCCCGTCCCGGTCCTTCCGGACACAGCCTCTTGAACTCCTCTGGAAAAACCAGATTATCTTCCTCTTTTTTACATAAATTTAGTAGTTATATTGTTATAAATTACATATTATATTTTTATGTTACATAAATAAAATATTATGTTTTTCTAAAAAATATTTATTGCGGATAACATTTTACTATATTTTAATATTTTTTACATATTATTGTTTTAAAATTTTATTAGCAAATTTTCGCTCTATTCATATTTTTGACAGATATCAGCTGATCGAAACGTTAATTTGCTAATTAATTTTTTAAATAATAATATGTTATAAAAATTAAAATAGTAATATGTTTTAAATAATATATTATAATTCTTTAAACTCGATTAATATTTTTGACAGTTATCAGCTGATTTCTGTCAAAAAGATTATTTGCACAACAGATTCGCGATAAAAAATTCTAATTAATTTAAGACTAATTAAATTAATTTCTTAATAAATTGGGATTGAAATTTAATGAAAATTGAACTCAGTAATTTTTGTTGGGAAAATATTTTTGGGAAGCTATTCCTACCGCTATCTTCCGGTGGACATTGCTCGCAGTAGCGACCCCAAGCCTTGCCCATCGTGCAGCAGCAGTGTTTCTTGGTCATCCCACCCTCTCGTGGGAAGGTGCACTGATTTCGCCTGTAGCTGTCGTAGCATTGTTCTTCCCTCACGTCGATGCATCTAAGCGAGTTCGGTTTGTCACTCAACTGATATCCGACCGGACATTCGCAGATCACCCCGCCTTCCGTATTGATGCATCGACCGTTTTCGCAAATATCTTCCGTTTCCATGCATTCGTCCACGTCTGCGGGATGATCAAAAGAAATACAAATCGTATTAATAATAGGCTACATATGTATGAGACAATGAATATAATTTTTGATGTAAATTTTTAAACGGACCGACGCATTTTTTTCTGGTATGGTCCAACTCGTATCCCGGTGGACAGCTACATATATAGGATCCCATCAAATTCTGACATTTTCCGGGAGGTGGGCATAATCCTGGTATCTGTGACAATTCGAAAATATTAATTTTACAGGAGCGCATTGATATGTGTAAATGTTAATGGATCAAATATTTTTATTTTATTTGTCACCTTTCGCAAATTCTTGAAAAATACTTTCTGTCAGAATCTACACAAACATACCTCATGACACTCATCGATATCGCGACAATGTTGACCATCTTGAGCCAATACATAACCGTCCGCGCATTCACAGACAAAACCTCCGATCGTGTTTCGGCATCGACCATTGCGACATAAAAACGGCATTATTCGACACTCGTTGATATCTGAAACAAGTTTGTATGATTAAGATACACAAGATACCAAGTATTTATTAAATATATTTTATATAAAAAATTGCAATATTCTTTATTAATTATTAATTATCATTATTATTATTATTAATTATTATTAATTGTTTAAAAAATTAAAGAGCTCAAGGACCAGCTGTCAACTCACCCGCGCAATCGTTATTCGGACTGAGTTTGAATCCCTGATAACACTGGCACTTATAGGAACCCAGGGTGTTGATACAAGTGCCGTTGTTGCATATATTCGGATTGCGTTGGCACTCGTCAATGTCGACGCAGTTGTCTCGGTCGCGGGTCAACGAGAACCCGGCATGACAGACGCACTGGAAACCACCTTGCAGGTTGCTGCACGCGCCGTTGCTGCAAATGCCTGGTCGCTCGTAACATTCATCAATGTCGACGCAATCGTGCTGACCGGGACCGAGTTTGTAACCAGCCGGACATACACATTCGAAATAACCTTGCTGATTAATACACTGCGCGTTTCCGCTACAGGGATTCGGTATCTAAAAAAAAGTAAAATAATGGAGTGTATTCGATATTTATCATTAAAATATATATCGGTAATTATTATTATACGTTACAATAATCAAATGTCGCTCTTAAATATTGAAGAAAAATAAATTGCAGATTTTCTTTCGATTAAATTCCAATTTTTTCAAATTTTGTTGAAAAATCTGTCGCACCTGTAGACATTCGTTCTCGTCGATGCACTGATGAGAGTCCTGGTCGTAAACGTAGCCGCGCTCGCATTGGCACTCGAAACTACCGGGCGTGTTCATACACCGGCCATGAGTGCACATGGTCGGCATCAGGGCGCACTCGTCGATCTCCTCGGAGTGATTCGTGATCGGGTTCATGATCTGACCCGGCACATGGCCGCACAGAATCTCGTGTTCGCCTGGTTCAAAAGAACCGTACGATTAATCCAGATACAGAAATGTCGAAGTTTGGATATATTACTCACGAGTTCTCTCGCCGGGGCATTTTTCGCAGAGACTACCCCACGCGGCCCCCATAGAACAGCAGCACAACATTTTTGTCTGCGGCTGCACCATAGGGTTGAGACAGTGTCCATCGTCATAAGTAAGGTAACAGGCCTCCTTCCTCATGTCGACGCATTCCTCTAGAATTTAATTTTATATACTTGTATCGCACATTTGTTTCGCGTTATTAAATTATGTTATAAATTCAACGATAATGAAAGAATATTGGATCAATATTTTCTCTTGAATTATTTGATTGTGCATTTTACTGACTTCCTCCAGGCATCGCCATGTATCCTTCAGGGCATTCGCAATGATATTTTCCTTGGTCATTGATGCAGTATCCTACGCCGCATATCCGCGGATGCAGCGCGCATTCGTTTATGTCTGCAACATTTTTTTAATAGCTCAAACTCGAACAATAATAATACAGGAAATTAAAAAAATGTTAAAGAAATTAAAAATGTAAAGAAAATTTACATAAGAGAGAGCTATATAGCAAATATAGAGATTATATAAATTGAAGAGAATTTCTGGGTTGTTTATTTCTTACCGATACAGCTGGTCTTGGAATCATCCAGGATGAAGCCTTCGTTGCACGAGCACATAAAGCTACCGAATGTGTTGGTGCAGTGTCCGTTCTGACAGATATTTTCGTGCTCCGCGCACTCGTTGATGTCCTCCAGAATCACGGTCACGCGATTCGGCCTGTATCCTGGTCCGCTAGGACACAATGTATCGTATTCCTTCGTGCCAGGTCGCGGACATTCCTCGCAACGATTGCCCCAGGCGGTGCCGATGCTGCAGCAACACGTCGCTTTCGTCACCGACGACGCTACTTCGAAGATGCACTGGGGCTTTCCGGTGCCGTGCTCGTAGCCCGTGAAGCAAAGCGACTCGCGTCTATCTGTGTAGTATTTAAATAAATTATTAATTATTTATAATATATTAATAATTAATTTATAAATAATAATAAATAAATAATTATTAATTAATAGTTAATAATAATAATAATAATAATTAATAATTAATAATAATAATAATTGATAATTGATAATTGATAATTAATTAATGTAATATAAGTAAAAATTATTACTTTTTTATAAGATTTCCAAAAATCGCTAAATCTTTCCGATTTTAAACGCATGAAAAAATAACTAAAATTTAAAAATTTATAAACCTAGAATCCAAAGTGATGTCACCTACCGACGCAGGCATTTCCGGCTTCGACCAGCTCGTGATGCGGCGGGCATCTGCAGATATATTTGCCCTGGGTGTTGATGCAAGTGCCGTACTGACAGGATTGCGGGCTCTCGCACTCGTCCACGTCGGTGCAGTTGCCGCCGGAATTGTCGAGTTTGTAGCCCTCGTTGCACTCGCAGCGGAACATGCCGAAGATGTTCTCGCAGTGGCCGTAGACGCACAGATTGTTAAACATCTCGCACTCGTTAATGTCCACGCACGCCTGCTCGCTACGCTCGTCCGGATGCATGAAGCCCATCTCGCACTCGCAGCGATACGCGCCCGGATAATTCAGGCAGTGTCCGTTTTCGCAAAGCGTGCTATCCTCCGCGCATTCATCGATGTCCTTGCAGTTGTAGCCGTCGCCGCGAAAACCGGCGTCGCACACGCACTGCAAAAAAATTAAAATTTTATTGAATATAATTAAATATAATTAATCTAATTAAATATGTAATTAATATACTTGAATACAATTGAATATAATTAAAAATTCAAATTGACATGGCCTGATAGTGCAAATTTTTATAATTGAGGTGCGATAAGCAAATCGTAGAAATCTTGAAAATGCATACCTTGAAGGAACCTTCGGTGTTGATGCAGTGCGCGTTGGAGTCGCAGCCGCCGTTGTTGTTGGAGCACTCGTTGATATCCCAGCACTCAATTCCATTCCCGGTGAAACCGTCGTGACACGTGCATACGTAGGAGCCCTGGGTGTTCTGGCATTCGGCGAATTCGCTACAAGAATAGGCATTTAATCGGCATTCGTCGTCGTCGGTGCATGCTGGCCCTTCCGCTGGTTTCACCGAGTAACCTTCCTCGCAACGACAATTGAAGGACCCAATCGTGTTGTAACATTCACCGTATCCGCATATCTGCGGCTGCATCACGCACTCATCGACATCTATGACAGTTTGATAATACATATGTGTGTGTGTAATTTTAATATAACAAAGCAGTAATGTGAATGTAAGGAAAATCTACCTATACAAGATATACCGTCTCTTCCGGGCAACAGACCGTTCGTGCAATTGCATACATAACCACCCGGTATATTCCTGCACTTTCCTCCGTTGCAGATTCGAGAGTTCTCCTTGCATTCGTCCACGTCCGCACAGGTGCGACCATCCAGATTTAAAGCGTAGCCGGTGCTGTCACAAGTATAAGAAATTATGATTTTTTAATTTATTTTTATCATATTTTATTATTTCCTTTTATTTTTATTATTATTATTTTATTTATTATATACGATTTTAATTTGACGTTATAAATAAAGCTCAGGTTAAAAATGGTTCAAACTTTTCAATTTAGTTTGTCGTCCTGTATCCGATGTGATGTGCTTCGTATACCTTTATTTAGTTATACCCTGAATATATTTTTTTAAATTAACATTAAACATAAATTTTCTAAAAGAAAACAGAGACAAGTATGAATGATTCTTCACCGGCAGGAGCAGGAGAAACTGCCCGGTGTGTTCAGACAAATGTCCGCGCAGCCTCCATTGTTGACCGCGCACTCGTTAATGTCCTCGCAGTGAGACCTGAGGCCCGTTTGCTGATAACCGTCATCGCAGATACACTGATAAGTGCCCATCATGTTCTCGCAAACCCCGTTCGAGCATATACCGCTGGTTCTCGAGCACTCGTCGATGTCCTTGCAGGATTGCTTGTCAGGGCCCAGTTCGTGCCCCGGAGGACATTGACAGTTGAAGCTTCCTTCGGTATTGACGCAAGTACCTCCGCGACACAGACCCGGAGTCTCCTCGCATTCGTTTATGTCTGAAGAGAGAAATAGATTTTACTTATTGCCAGTCTGGTCGACTTTAAACAGTGGTTTTTTATGTCTGGCAACCTTAAGGATTATTAAATAGATTTTACGTTATCCCGAAGAAATAGACTTGGAAAAATATTTTAATGAATTTTTTTTCTTATACTTTACCCATGCAAATCTTCATGATGTCACTGCTGCGATAACCAGGGGTGCAGTCGCATTGAAAATTGCCGGGAGTATTTCTGCAGGTGCCGTTGCCGCAAACACCACGCATGATCTCGCATTCGTCGATATCTGTACATACAATTAAGAGTTTCGATTTGCATCTTATTTCTTTGAAATCTTTTTCGAGATAAAATTCGAAAAATAAATTCACTTAGCTCTAGAAAATCCTCCAAGAAAAATTTCTCTCTAAAATTGTTATCAATCGCAATGAAATCCGAAAAATAATTTTTTGAGATGTTACCTACCATTGCACTTGATGCCATGCTCGTCGAGCGCGAAGCCCTGATTGCATCTGCAGCTATAACTGCCGATCGTGTTTTTGCATCTGCCGTTCAGACACATCCCCGGGAACTCGATGCACTCGTTAATGTCCTGACGCTCGGTGAAGCCGTCTCCTCGAGGACACAGTTCCGCGTGGGCTCGTGTACCCGTCTTAGGACAGAGTTCGCACTTCTCGCTGCCCCAGGCACGGCCTACGGAGCAACAGCAGAGGCTTTTGGAGAAATGACCCTCTACAGAATTGGTGCACTGGCCGTGGCGATAATCCAGGAAGCACGCTTCCTGCCTAGTGTCGATACAAGTAGTGTCTGGAGCAGGAAAAAATAGAGTTAGACGCTTGAAAGATATATCTATTTCGTCACGAAAAAATATATATTATGTATTAAAAAAATAATTTTTTTTTTAATATATAATATATATAATTGTTTTAATATATTATGCATTAAAAAAAGATTTTTTTAATATATAATATATTATGTATTAAAAAAATATATTTTTTATTTAAAAAAAATTATTTTTTTAATACATATATTTTTTAAATATATAATATATATAATTGTTTTAATATATTATGCATTAAAAAATATTTTTTTAATATATAATATATTATGTATTAAAAAATATATATTTTTTATTTTTGGGAGAAATAGAGAGCAACAAATATTTATTAATATATAATAATAAATATTATTTGTTACTAGCTTACGTGTCGCGTCCAGGGTGAGACCGGGTGGGCACTCGCAGCGGTACGAGCCGTCCGTGTTAACGCAAGTGCCGCCACCCTTGCAGATCCCGTTGTTGAGCTCGCACTCGTTGATATCGGCGCAGTCTTTGTCGTCTACTTTCGCGTAACCTTTGGAACACTCGCAGAGAGAATGCTCGCAAAGTTCGCACGGGCTGCCCCAGGCTACCCCAACCGAGCAGCAACACTCGGAACGTAGAGCCAGTCTTGGCAAATTATTTTCGCATCGACCGTCCACCATCTTGGTCCAGCACGATCCCTTCCGATTGTCTAAAAGGAAGAAGAATCTATACCTTTAGATATATTTGTTTTACTTTTTTTATCTATTTATATCTAGAGAGCGCGATTATTTCGTCGTCATTTAGAACAGAAGGTTTAAAAGAAATTAATTGTTAGCTCACACCTCGGCAGATGTAGCCAGTGTTATCCAGAACGTAACCAGGAGCGCATTCGCATTCATAAGCTCCCAGGGTATTGATGCATACTCCGTTGAAACACACATCCGGTCCTAATTCCTCGCACTCGTCCACGTCCTCGCACATCTGGTTCTGCGTGTTGTATCTCATCCCCGTCGGGCAAATGCACTGCGAGTGAATTCAATCGCGGTTTTATAACATTTATTTTGTTCAATATTAATTTAGAACGCATAGATTAACGTGTCGAGAAAAATCGAGGTTTTATTATTATAATTAATATATTTGATAAATAATTCTCTTGCCTGGAAACTACCGGGTGTGTTTCGACATTGACCACCGCTGCACAAGGAGTCTTCTAACTCGCATTCGTTGATATCGCTGCATATTTTTCCAGTTGCATCGACCTCGTATCCATTGTCGCAAATGCACCTATACGTCCCCATAAGATTCTCGCATCCGCCATTGATGCAGATATTAGGATTCTGGGCGCACTCGTTGATGTCTAATAAAAATTAATTTTATTATTAATTTAATTAATTAAATTATATTTACTGAATCGAAGATCTCGACTTTGAGGATGTTAAAATATTTCGGAAAAATTATGGGAATCTCTTTCTGAATTTTTGCAAATTTTAAAATATCTCTTTTTCTGCAAAACGTCAAAAGGCTCGAATTTTGGAGCAAAGCGTTCGTTTACTCACCATCGCCGTTGTAAGTCATTCCAGCACCGTGCGGGCACAAGGCTTCAAATTCTGGAGTACCCGGAAGCGGACAGGCTTGGCAAGTGCTACCCCAGCCTAATGGCTGGCCTAGGATCACAGTGCAACAACAACAGCTGGACTTTGTCACGGCGGTTGAGGTCGGGTTGGAGCACTGGCCATCTCTGTACTGCGAATAGCACAGATCTCTTCTCGTATCTGACCAGCGCGGAATCGTCCGATAGAAATTCAATTTTTTGTTAAATAAAATTTAATTTTATTTTTTTTTTAATTTAATTTAATTTTATTTTATTATAATATTATGTATTTTATAATTAATTATTATATATAAATAATATATATATAATAAATTATTATATACAAATACTTAATTATATAATATAATAATTAATTATTTTAGCGAATTATATAAGCGAAAAATAATTAAGTAAATTTTTCTTTAAAAAGCATTTTAAAAAATTATAAAAAATGCAGCATTAATAAAAATATTATATAAAATAAAATATTATAAAACAATAGCATCCAGTATGTGTAGAGAGTTTAATTTTTTAAATAGATATCTGAATTTAATCAAAGGAAGGTATGTAACATATTGAGAACAAAAAAATAAGTAGTACGAACCTAAGCATGATCTGCCGTCCGGACCTAAATTGAATCCCGGATGACACTCGCATTGAAAATTGCCTAACGTGTTGATGCAACGTCCATTTTGACAGGGTGAACTTAAACACTCGTCGATATCTTGCAGAATAAATAATAATAAATAATTATATAAAAATATATAATTTATTCTCTATATTTTTTATACTCAATTTTATTGGTTTTATGAAATTTTGAATAATATTTTAATTTGAAAAAATCTGCAAAATTCTTAAGAGCTCAATCAAATATTTCAATTTTCTAGAAAATTAAATAATTTTCGAAAACGTTAATTATATCGATAAAATAAATACCGATGCAGTGGCTCTGATCGGGGCCGATCCTGAAGCCGGAATCGCAGACGCATTTGAAAGAACCCTCCATGTTAACGCACTTGCCATGCTCGCACATTCCGCTGGTGGAACACTCGTCCATGTCCACGCAGAAAGTGTTGTCTCTCGAAGGAGTGAAACCCGACTGGCAAATACAGTGATAGGACCCCGGCGTGTTCTCACAACGGCCGTTTAGACAGATTCGCGGATTTTCTACACACTCGTTGATGTCTGAGAGAAAAAATCCGAATCGTTAGATATTCTTGATTACAGATATTTTGGATTAAAATAATTTGCAAAATATATTTCTAAAATTTCTAATTGCACTGCCAATGTAACATTTATTTTTCACCTATACAAGTATTCCTCGTCGGTGACAACGTGTAACCATCATTGCACTCGCATTTGAAGGATCCGTTCATGTTGATGCAATGTCCATTGGTGCACATTCCGGTGTCTTGGCATTCGTCGTGATCTAGAAAAATATCATATAATCATTGTTTGCTGTTATCTAAATAAAATTATATAGATGATCATCTAGATGAAACTGTGGCGTCATCTTATCTTTATATGGATAATAAAAATATGTATTATCTATATCTGCATCTTAGATAAAAAAAGTATTATCTTTACTAAATTTATCTAGAATAATTTTCAGATAATTTTCAAATATATTTTTATATCCCTTTTATAATTTACTTTTTTTTATATCTGTGTTTACATAAGCAGTCTTAAAAATTATTTTCTAGATGAATCGCCATATAATTTTATCTAGATATATTTAAAACAAAATCATCTTTATCTTATCTAACAATAAGATAAATTTACATATTTTTATCTCATCTTTATCTAGCTAATTTTAAAATCATCTAAGGACAACACTGTTATTTTATCTAGATATATTTAAAACAAAATCATCTTCATCTTATCTAAGATGAATTTACATATTTTCATCTTATCTTTATCCAGCTAATTTTAAATCTTGGCATATAATATTCCGTAGAAGCTACTGTTTCTTCATCGAGCAATATCTGGTTACCGGTGCAGTATCTGCCTTCGCCGGAAACGACGAAACCGGGCGGGCAGTCGCAGGTGAAGCTGCCGGGTTGGTTGTGACAGATTCCACCCTGGCAGTAACCCAGCAGACACTCGTCCACATCTTCGCATCTGCCGGGCTTTCTCGTAAATCCCGGATAGCACTCGCATTCGTAGCCCTCTTTGGTGTCGATGCACTTGCCGTTGCCGCAGATATCCGGTCGCAAGGCGCACTCGTTCACCTCGGTGATCGACTGCAGTTGCGAGCAAAGCCTGTTGTAATCGTCTACAATTGAGTAATAACGTGGATCCTGTAGAATTGCCAGTTGTAAAAGCACTCTTTTTTTTATCTAGCTTTCGTCCATTATTTCTATCGCAGAAGTCTCTCTCGAGAAGTTCAACGAGACTTTATTTCTCTTGAAACTCAGAATCGGAATTGTTTAAAGTCCGCGAAATTTTGCGGATCGAAATTAAGATTTAATTCAATTTAATATTGTTGAGGAAAATAACAAATAATAATTTTTCCCTGAAAAAACGTACCGCTGCCAGGATTGGGACAGATGAAGCATTCGTCGCCCCATCCTCGACCCATGTTTTTGCCGCAGCAACAATCCTTCTTGCTCAATCTCATCGCCAACCGATTCTTGCATTGTCCATTACGATTTACCGCCGTGTAACACAATCCCTGTCTGCCATCTGCCATCGAAAAATAATTAGCCGATTAAAATTCATAAAAAGGGAGATAAAGAGAAACGATATCTGCCAAAAATTATATTTAAAATAAAAATAATAAAAGAGAAGAGAGTTATTAAATTTGATTATTTGATTAACAATATTGTATTCACCGATGCAGTACTTCCGGTCCTGGCTCTGTATGAATCCAGGATTGCAATGACAGTAATAGCCGCCACTCGTGTTTATGCATCGACCATCGGCGCAAATGCCTTCCTCCTGACACTCGTCTCTGTCCTTGCATTCGTTGGTCTCGAGGTCCCTCGCCTGTCCCTCGGGACACTCGCACACAAACGAACCTGGGGTGTTCACGCATTTTCCGCCCTGACAGAGTCCGGGAATCGAATCGCACTCATCGATATCTGAACAGCGTACGAAAAATTTCACCATCCCAGATTTATTTATTATATATTAAATTAAATAATTTTTAATTATAAATATTTTTAATTATTAAATAATTTTTAATTATAAAATTATTTAATTATAAAATTTATTTAAAATTATTTTAAATTCTAATAATTTTATATTAAATTAAATAATGTTGTGATATAAAGGATAAAACGGTACCGATGCATTGACCCTGCTTGGTCTTCAGATAACCTTGTTCGCAATCCAGCCTGGCTGGGCACCTCTCGCAAGGGTGGCCCCAACCCTTGCCGACAGTCGCGCAACACAATTGTCGTGTGCAAATCACGTTTGGAAGACTCGCCAAGCATTGATCGTTTCTCACTTTGGTATAACACGGCCCAGTTCTGAAACATGACATCGTGTAACGCGAAGTAACTCGAGCTATATATTTTTTCTCACCTGAAATCGGTCTCGCAACGTCTTCCGGTGTAGCCGTAAATGCAAGCACAACGATCTGGACCGATGCATCTTCCCTGATTCAGGCAAGGTTCTCGACAGATAGCTGAAGCGATTTCCGATTAATTATTTATCTGATTTTTAGATTTTTAGATTTATCTGATTTTTATTATTTATCTGAATGTAGGTGATGTCTTCAAATTTATTTCGATAAATTGATCAAAGAAAGGCCAACTGAAACGAGCTACATTAATTCAGGATATCAAACAAAATTTATTATTACGAATAGAAACACATCAAACAAGTGTACAACAATCTTTCTCAATACATTAAATTTTATAATTGATGCATAATAAATCAAACATTGATAATTAGTCTATGTTGTCTAAAATATTTCGCAATGTTACAAATATAATTAATTATCAGGACCATGTTCCAAGGAAAGAAAAAATTGTCAGCTCAAATTTGTCGTTAGTAAGTGAAAAGTGAGGCAGTCCGATTTCTTTAGGAGTCAATCTTTTAAAATTCTTAGCCTCGTGGTTGAAATATTTTTCTATTGATGTGACATGTGTCGAATGTTCTCAGATTTCTTGTTATATTTCGATTTTAGTTGACCTTTCTTTTATCAATTTGTTGAATTCATACAAGCCAAAACTTTTAATATCAATTTTTACTCACGTTCGTTGCAAAATTCTCCCTGATAACCGCTGCGACACTGACACCGACCGTCCACGCAGTTTCCGTTTATGCAATGAACTCTGCATCTGCCGGTCTCGCCGCGATCGCTGCCGTTTCCGGTCTCGTGCGTGATGACTGTCAAAGTAATCAATTTTATTTTTATTTTATTTTATCGCTCTAAAAATATTAATAATTATCATCAGCTTTATGAAATGGATTAAGGTCATTCAATGTTACATATTATTGCACCTTTGCTTTGTCCTCCGTTGCCGCAGGAAGATGCGACCTGACCACCTTCGCACAAGCAAATATTGGGCTGTATGCATCTCCCTAGAGAGCCGCAACGTCTTACGCAGATCGCTATAAAATGCGAACAATTTTTTAAATGCACGCTTTTACATCGAGTTTAATATTTTTTCATGGAATGATTTATTCTGTCAACTGTCGCAAAAATATATATGATAAATTGAAGAGGGCAGAATGTTCAATTATTTTATAAATTTAATTTGACAACGCTGGACAATATAAATCTATAAGATGTTAATTACATGAATTAATTGATACAATTAATAACGCTATCAGACACCCGGAAATTGGCGGAATACCGATCTCGAGCGAAGCGCGGCCGCGTTACCAGACAATGCGATCAACAGGAAGCGCATAACAGGTCATTAAACCAGTTTCATTCGAGGCGGCCGTTCGTGTCGCATAAATGCCCATTTGTCCGTTGCGTAATTGCATCGATCATTATCATCGACTGCGGGCAATACCGATATATAATGATAGGCGGTTCCTCTCGCGCAATATTAATAATCGCTTTCTATTCTGCGAATATCTCGCGGGAGGTCGTGTATCACGCCAAGATGTTGTAAGGATGCGAATTATTATCCTTGGTCTTCGTTTTATTGCCCATCAGTTTCATCTCGTTATCCCTATAGTTGATACACTGCTTCATATTTTAGATTCCATTAGTTACAGTGATAATTTACGATATCAGTTAATTCAATGTGAAAAGAATAATTATGCGCAAAACCCTGCTTTATTAAAACCTTGAATTTAGTCTATAAGTTAACATTTTTTTCTTTTATTCTTTGGTTTTTTAATTTGCTTGTTCTCGTATTTTTCTATTTTATGTAACAGTTTTGATAAATCAGAAAATTACAATATACTTTATGAAACTTAACGAAACGATAGGTAACTTGTACTTACGAATAACGCACAGGCCCGTTTCCGGTTTCTTTGACCATCCTGGACAGCAGTAGTTTTTATATCTCGACCTGCATACGTTTGGCCTAAATGTTTAAATATTTGTTAGTTTTCTGAAGATTTTATTTAATTAAAAAATTAAATTGGTGCAAGATTGAAAGGCAGTTTCTAAGGAAATCAGTATCGTAAAATTTGGACTTATATTCGAATGAAAAAAATTATTTATTAATATATTTATAATATTCTTTATTTTAATTTTATATATTAATAGACATATATATCATAAAAAATAAAAAAATCCGAAATGTTTCGGAAACTTGAAACGAAGTATCCAAAGTTACGCGGATTAGTCAGGAGCTCCTGCGGCGCCAGTTTGAAGAGGCCGCAGGCGGAAACGCGGCGTTTCCGCGGCATCGTGGCACGCGCAAGAAGAGAGGAGCGAAAGAATAAGAAAAAAAAAAAAAGAAAAAGAAAGAGAGTGGAATAGAGGCCGGAGTACCACCTCGGAACAAGGCGGCCATTCACGTCTGGCGCCTCGTAATTAACGTCAGCTGCTGTAGAATGCCGCCACTTAGGCCTCTCGACGCCGCGATCGCGCAAACGCCAGGGCATCGCCGGCCCTTCTCACGTCGCGCCATTCTTTATCGCGTCGGAGGAAGAGAGAGAGATAACGCGCGATTGTTATCTAACACGGTCTGTAGGATCGCGGCCCGCGAGAACTTTGAACCCTAAAAGATCTGTAAATAACCCTAGAATTTCTGTAATCTCCTTGGTAATCCCTCACAGTCAGTGTTGTGCTTAGATGATTTTAAAATTAGCTGGATCAAGATGAGATGAAAACATTTAAATTTATCTTAGATAAGATGACGATGATTTGATTTTACTATATCTAGATAAAATTATATGGCGATTCATCTAGATAATATTATTTTCAAAACCTCTTATGTAAACACAATTATTAAAAAAATGCAAATTATAAATGGCATATATAAAAATATATTCATATTTTTATTTATAAATGTTTATTGCTTACTGCTTAAGCTTTGTTACTTATTTTTATGTGCTATGACTCTAAACTAAATTATCTGAACATTATTCTAGCTAATTTAATTAACATAATACTTTTTTTCATCTAAGATGCAACTGTAGATAAAACATATTTATAAAGATAAGATAACGCTAAAATTCTAGATGATCGTCTATATAATTTTATTTGGATAACAGCAAACACTGAGCACAGCATATTCGAAAGACGTTCAGAGGATATTCAAAGGATATCTAGAGGAAATCTGAACATCCTATAAGGGATCCGTGAAAAAAATAAAAATTCTCAAATTTTAATAAAATGTTTTACGAAAAAATTTGGATTCCAAGATTCTCTGACAGATTCCCTTAAAGATTAATTGTTCTCGCGTGTCCAGCATATACCTCTCTTCCTTGTTTCTGACCTTCTGACCTGTTGCATATCATCTTCGCGGAGGCGCATCATCGTATCGCGCACGGTAAGGCGGATGTTTGCAAGATGATATTAAAAGCGCATGAAGAGCGATGAAGCAATCTTGCTCACAACAAACACTGATGCGAGCCTGCTAACTGCTTGGGACGTTAAGCGAGTGTTTATACACGCAATTACAGCCCTAAATCATCACGTAGCTTCAGAAACGAGCGAGCTACTTAAACCCTTTGCCTAAAATACTCGTTCTTTAATCTCGTTCTTAGCAATAAGTCTTTCTCCTACTTTATTGCCGCAATCTTTCCTCAAAACACGCAATCAGATAAAATCCCACGAGCAATAACAATAATAATAACGACAGTAACGATAATAATAATGATTGCGTAGATAAGAAAAATTACGTGGACGCGAGGTCGAAAAATCTTTGATTTAATCTACATGCAAAATCGAGATCCGGAGATTGATCCACCGTCGAATTTATATCTCGGTCCGATCAACACGTGGCGTCTCGGCAGGGTGTAATTTTAACACCCTGTAATGATAGCTTAACGAGGCCTGAAATCAATGCGTTCATCGTCGGCACCGATATCTTCATTTCAAGATCTTGACGTGAATTTCCGTAACTGGCGGGTGTTAAATTATATCCTTCACACATTTCTCTCCTTTCCACGTATTTTTAATATTTATTTAAAAACTGACACACTTTCGTGATCCTTTACGACATGACATTAGCATTTTACGATCGGCAGGTTATTAATAATTATCATTCATTGACACGTTGAAGAATTAACACGCGTGTTAATGGAATGGCTTTACTGAACGACTAGCATCTAGATATCGCGGACCCAATTAATGATGCGGATCCGGTTAACTATAGTTGACTGTCCCTTATTGCAAGAGAGTTCAATTGAAAGCGCGAATATAATGGCTTGATGAAAATGCGGCCTCTTCTTCTCGTCGCGATTGGGAATCCTAAACGGATCTGTTTTATTGATCGAGCGATTATTTCTTTTTAGATAGGTTATTCTTTTTAAATAGGTTTTTGGCAGTTTGTACATACAAAATAAGACCGGGACGGATTTGGCAGTGGATAAAGGAATATAAGTGAATGTTTAAATATCAATTTAGAAGCCTAGTAAACGAGAATAACTCATACTACATTTCCGTGCATATGTGTGTGTGCTTTTCCGTGCACTTCCAAGTTGATATCTAAACATTCACTTATATTCCTTTATCCAATGCCAAATCCGTCTTGGTCTTATTTGATATGTACAAAATTCCAATAACCTATCTAAAAGGAATAATCTATCTAAAAAGAAATAATCGCTCGGTCGATAAAATGCACGAAAATGTAGGATGAGTTATTCTCGTTTACTAGGTTTCCAAATTGATATCTAAACATTCACTTATATTCCTTTATCCAATGCTAAATCCTGATCTTATTTTGTATGTACAAACTGCCAATATTATTGTGTATACGTGTATATGTGTGGTGCTAACCTTCGGGATGGCGTTTTAGGATTGCTTTGGCGAGAAGAGAAAATAAAAGTGAGCCTTCGAATGATCGAGAGGCATCGATTAAACGTCACCTTGTTCATATGGAGTCGCACTAAAAGTTGCGATAGCGACTCTAACTACCTCCACATGAAGAACATCTTCACTTCCTGCCGTAACACGCGACTTAGAGTCAGTTTAAACTAGTCTGAATTAACCGTGAATAATTTTAAACGGCGATCCCGTTAGACTTAAAATCGACCCTACATCCTACTCTTTACCTTGTCCCATTAAACGAGATAATTCTAAAATGAAAGATCCTCTCTCTCTCTCTCTCTCTCTCCTTTTGAATATAAATAGTACAGGAAGCTGAATTTTTTTTCGTCACGTTTAAATAAAATTATAATCCGGACATGTATAAAAAAAGAAATTGAATAACGTTGTGGAAGTAGTGTTAAGTATTATTCAGTGATATATCTCGTCGTTGGTTAGGTGCTACCGCATCCATCCTGAGAAGGATCCTTCTTTCGAACTAACTCTGACATCGATCATTCTCTCGCGTTCTCGCGTTCTTCCCTGAAGTTATCAGTGACGATCGAAATGCATGGCACGTCTCGTCAGGGGGGCGTCATTCATCATTCAGCGAAACAACGAGTGGAGATGCGCCAGATGATGACGAGTCCGGTCATGCAACAACGGTATTTGTGACGATAAAAAGCGACGAGGCGCAGAATTCCGGGGTGGCCTTATCACGCCCGCTTGTCCGCATTCTATCCGCGTTAATTAATTAACGTGGAGACGCGCGTTTATCAAATGCCGGCCAGATAATGCAGCTGCAACTCGCGCGGAAGAGAAGGAAGCGAAAGAGTTTACACCCGATGTTGTCTTATTGCAATTTCACTCGCAGGATCACTTCGCGACGAACAAAAGAGACAGGTACATATATAATTATTTTATATAATTAATTAAATATGTTATTTTAATATATTTATTTAATCTATATTAGATATATAATTATATAATTAATTATATAATTGATTAAATTATTTAAATATATTTAAATATATTAATAATAATGTAAACTCCAATTGAGATTTCTTTATTAATTCCTTGGTATCGCATCGAAAAACAATTGGCCCATAAATTCAAATATAATTTTTCAAATAAATAAATAAATTCTTCGAACAGAATGTTTGGACTACTTTGAGTCGTACTGATTATTAAAAAATGAACTCCAAATTCCAATTGATTTATAAGATATAAATCATTTAAGTTATGTGGGTTTCACAAGTTATTCGAGAGTTGAAAAGTCGTGGATGAGTATCGACGAAAAAAAAAAGATGTTCGTTTGTGTCTTTACGATTTAAACGTTCCGACAAAGAGACGTACACGACCGGAAGGGTTAAGCGAGCTCTTAGTTAATGAAGACGTATTAACGGGCGTTCTGTCAGAAGCAATTAAAAGCATTGTTTTCGTGGCGTTACTCAACAGGCGAGTCTTAAAAGGGAGCGCCATTAATATCGTAATATCAATTGAATATAATTCCAGATGGAACCTGCGTTTAATGTACATCCTTGGTGATACATTTTAATCCGAACGAGCTACTCGAGGCACGAGATCGTTAAACTTTGGTAGGAAAAGGTAGATGCGAGATAAAAAAATGGAAACATGAACGAATAATATACGAAGGATTGTAAAACACGTAATCAGCAAACGGATTACAGATAACGGTTGCCCTACAATCGTTGAACTTTGTCATTTATCATTCGTGTCTCTCTCTCTCTCTCTCTCTCTCTCTCTCACTCTCTCTCTAAAGTGTAAAAATAATGAAACAAACTTATTCAGTTTAACTAGCAAAATTATCTAAAGTTACGGAATAAAACAAGGATACGAATTAATTTATATTTGCAAATATTTAATTATAGCTTCCACGGAAAATGTTATAATCGAATAACGCAGGAACTGTCATCTGGATAAAGTATATATTTAGATAAAATAATGTTATCCGACGCACTTGATGCGCAAGCGGATTAGTTTCTATCCGAGCCTCAATAAGGCGATTAGCATCCATTTAGAGTATCGCGGCGTATTATATATTATGAGATTAGTGATGGAAATTAGCGTCGAAAGAGAGAGAGATTATTCCATGAAACTAGATCTACTGATATATTCCCACGTCGGATCGGAATTGTAACATCTCGCACAATTACATTCAAGTTCGCAATCTCCTCGTCTTCTGAAATAATTTGTTTCTAGGTCACGAGTGTATTTCTATTCGAATAGACCCTCTCTTAAGTGAAAGAACGTCGCTTTCTTCGTAGAAGCGAAGAGATTTGCTCGGAAAATTCGGGATCTGACAGATAGATAAATTAGCGCTTACGTCGACGAAAGGGAATATAAATTTCCGCGCATACAATTGATCACAATGGACGAACGTGTGCAGCTCTAATCTCGCGTTTATTATCCCATTTGCGCGACCGCGAAAACATTTAGCGGAGCCGCGAAGGCGACGATTTTATCGGCGAAACTTGACTCTTATTGCGAAAAATCGACATTACTTAGGATAGAGAGAATGCGACCGCATAACGTAACACTCCGATAACCCAATTAGGTGTTATCGTGTCGTTCAGCTTCACTATACGAGGACGCGTTGACGAGGAGATCATCTCGGATTCTCTCTCGAGAAGATCCGCGTTCTTGAGAAATCTCGTTGCGCTTTTGACGAGACGATTTAACCTTCTTAAGTGACCGGCTCGCCAAGGACACCGAGACGCGTTTCGTTTCTTTGCACGTGCATACGTCGATCGGATCTTGATTTTTTATTACGCAAATAACCGATATCGTGCATTTCTTTCTATACTTCCTGGTGTTTATGTCGTCGATCAGATTTTTTGCCGATAAACGAAATTTAAGGTCAGTCGTTCTGATGCTGCAGCAACTTCAGGGTGTTTAGGTCGGGGAAATCTGGAAAACCGGGCATTGTCAGGGAATTTTATAAATCTGGAATTGTCAGGGAACAGTTAGGAATTTTTTACTATTTATCTGGATTTTTCACATTATTCTACATCTGTCTCAATAATTTTTTACTAAATAAATATCTCAAGGATTTCATGATTTAACATTTAATTGATTTATCATATGGATATATGCAAATTATATATTTGGAAAGAATGATACTAAAAAAATCAGGGAAAAAATTAATTTTTGGAAAATTAATTTCTTGGAAAATCTGAAAAAGCCAGGGAATTTTATAAATCTGGAATTGTCAGTGAAAAGTCAGGAAAACTATTTATCTGGATTTTTTCTACATTTGTCTCAATAATTTGAAATTTTTTTATTAAATAAATATAAATATTTCCTCGACTCCCAGCACACTAACTTTTTGTGTTAAAAATCGATTCATCTACAGCATGTTCGTTAATTTATATTTTCATCGTCGTATTATTTTATTTCAATGTGTTTGATAGAGACAAAACTAAAAAATTTGATAAAATATAAATAAATAAATAGATATATCTAAATTATATATACTTGGAAAAAATAATACTAAAAAGTCAAGGAAAAAATGAATTTCTGGTCTTGGAAAAACCTGAAAAAATCAAGGAATTTTTTTCATTGAGTCTGCTGGACACCTTGAATTTTGTGATCACGCCAGAAACGGAAGATTAGCTGTTAATGCTTGATACGATTGAATAATACATATACTCACCCGACGGGTGGTGCTGATTGCAGAGTGTTGTCCAGTTCCTGGGAAGGACTCGGGGTGTAACCCCGTTGACCTGTCGCAACCCCGTCCTGGATGAACGTCAGGACGATCCAGGTCGTCAGCAGAAATAACGCGGACATCCTGCGCGAGCAGAGGTATTTCGCAGCTTTCCTTTATTATCTTCCTCGACTGTTCCGGATTTATCTTCCTTCAGCTCGCGCATCTAACGCGCATGATCCTTGATCGATCTCGAGGGATTTCTCCAAGTCGTCGCGATCATTCCACCGTCTATGAAAACGATTTACAACATTGCTGCTATGCATGAGCAAGTGGTCTGCTTATCCTTGCTTTGTCCTATTTTGCCCTATTTCGCCGAGAAAGACAACGTGCGATAATTCGCTCGTGACTGCGATGCCTTTCCGGAAGCGCCAAATTAGTACGACGAGATAGAAGCAACTATCTCCTGATATAAATATCCACCATAACTGGCGTTTCGGCGAGTTTACAGATTAATTTCGCACTACTGCTGCGAATCATTTAGCTCTATTCAAATGTGCATTTATATATTCGAGGCAATTTTTTTCATTCGACCCTGCGTATCAAGAATTCACTCGCGATTTATTTCAAGAGTGTTATTTCACTATATTTTTTTTGTTGAATTTAAGGCCTATTGCACAATGCGAAAGTACAGTAAAATAATGATTGATTTTCCGGAATATCCTATGGCTACACTGTAAAAAAATATGTAATATATTACACAAAAATATGTAAAATTACATAAAATAAATAATAGAAATGTTTACCTTTTCATTATTTATCATGCAATTTTACATTTATTATTTATGTAATTTTACATATTTTTAATGTACAATAATTTTACATATTTTTTTACAGTGTATTCTATGCAAATTTAGCGTTTCGATTTATTAGTTTGACAATGTCTTGTCCGTTAAAATAAAATCCGAAAGAGAGGTAAGCCTCATATAAAACTTGCTGTTGAAAAGAAAAAATCTTGAATCGTGACAAATAATTCTCGCAAACGTTTTGCTCGTTATCTAGAAGGAAAAATCGGCTCATAGAGACTCACTAAGTTCTATAATATGAACTTGCACGATTCCTGCAGAAAGAGGGGCCTTGTGTTCGCACGTTCTATTGCGAGTACAAATCGACATAGCTTTCGACATAGTAATATTTCAGCTTTTGAGATACACCACCGTAACAAATGAGCTCGTAAACTGTACACCACGACGTTATCGAGTCCATTAAGAGCTTTTCATTGCGAAGAGAGAAACGACCGTTTCCTCATCCTTAGAAAGTTTCGTTAGACTAGGAATAAAAAGCTTTCTTTCTATTAATTAAAAAGTGAAAATTTATTCAATTTTGTAAGAGAAAATAAAAAAATAAAAACATGCTTTCCTTCTTGAAGAAATGAACATTTTATTTGACTCGGTGAGAAGAAACTTTTCAGTGGAAAAAACAGCATGAAAAGCCTTTTACATTTAATCTGCCGAAGAAAACATCTTTTTTGCTTCCAAAAGAAACGAAAAATATTTATCGTCAAAAATCGTCAATATTTTTAAATATCTTTTTTTCAAATCTACTTATTTAAACTACCGGCAGTCTAATTAATTCGCAAATGCAAATATTCATGCTAACGATTGCGCGACGATTAATCACGCGATTAATCTCGTGTTCGATGCGATGATCTTTAACATCACGCGTGAACCGCGATTTTAAAAATTCTCCTCAAAAATCACTCGCTGATCAACACTTTTTGGATCGAGCTTCCAATCTGCAAGTAGATCTAACAGTTCTCGATTCGCGTCGCGAATGATCAATGATGTAATGATTGATGATGTGGTATCTTTCGCGTATCTTCCTACATTTAATCATATGGAAGAAGAAAGAAGAGCTCTATGAAATTAATTACTGCTCATTTGAGAGAAAGAATTGATTCGATTACCGAAACTTACAATTAATTATTCACATAATTTAATTTAATTATATTAAATATAATATATTAATATATATTGTAATATATATTAATATATAATATATAATATATATTAATATATTAATGTATAATATATTAATTATATAAAATATATTATTAAATATAAATGTATATAATGATTTTTATTATTTCTATATTATTATCAATAATAATTAAATATATGTGGCTAATTATTTGTAACTCTAATTATGCCTACGTAGCTATTTATGAGTACATAAAAGATTATTCACATACATAATAATGATTGAATAATAATAAAAAGGCTGTTTAGGAGAAAAATGTGAATATTTTTAATGAAATATTATAATCTCTTCGCAAAGAGTGTTGTAAAAAATTTTATTAAATATCCAGGATCAGCCAACCACTATATAACAACGTACAGGTTTCGCGTACTCGTATGTATATCCCACGTCACCACCCAGCAAATAAAACGAATAATAAAATTTCCGCGATTTTCACCTCCGGTTTCCGGCGGGCCGATCTTTTCGGGCCCGATTCTCGATCGATCGGTCCCACGGGAGACGGAAAGATGCGCCGCGACGGGACTCGACGCGAGACTGGAGCTGCAGATTACAGAGTCGCGGAGAGGGCTCATCTGGGAAGGTTCTCTGTCTCTCTCTCCCTCTTTCTCCCTCTTTCTCTCTCTCTTTCTCGCTCTTTCCTCAGCATCTTTAGCCATCCTTATCTCCTGCTCTCGGTATCGGGCTCTCCTCTCTTTCTCCGGTCCACACATCGTCGATGTCGATCTCGTTCTCCCTCTCTTTGGCTTTAAGATGACGATGACGAGGACGGGCCCACCCCTTCTACTCGGCTGTTAACACCACGCGTGTGTGAAGACACGTACATGCACGCGTGTTGTACACGTTCCGAAAGGATGCGCTCCGATGCTCGATCGATCATCAGTCGAGAATGCGATTCGCGTGAAATTGGCGGAAGTCGGGAGAGTAAGCTTCTTTTGCTCGTGCCAGTTTATTAATCGGTACTAATTTGTTTCGACGATCGGAGGAGAGCTCGACGAGAGTCGAGATTCATTTAGAATTAGCAGAAGTCTCGAGGAAATTAATACTCCTTTCGGAACAACAATTCGACGCCGATTTCTTCCTCAAACTGGTTTCGATATATTGAATCGTTCGAATTTTGAAAAAAAGATTATATTGAGAAAATTTAAAATTTTCCCTGATATGAATAATTCCTCAATTAGCGAATTCATTTTTAAATTTAATTCTTTCGTAGAAAAGAATATGATTTATGTTTGACAAATTATGTAATTACTCGCAAATAGTCTGTATATTTTTTAAATAATCGTTTGAATTAAAAAAAAGATTATATTAAGAAAAATTTTCCCTGATATGAATAATTCGTCAACTAGCAAATTCATTTTGAAATTTAATCCTTTCGCAGAAAAGAATATAATGATTTATGTTTGACAAATTATATAATTACTCGCAAATAGTCTGTATATTTTTTAAATAATCGTTTAAATTAAAAAAAAGATTATATTAAGAAAAATTTTCCCTGATATGAATAATTCGTCAACTAGCAAATTTATTTTAAATTTAATCCTTTCGCAGAATATGATTTATGTTTGACAAATTATATAATTACTCGCAAATAGTCTGTATATTTTTTAAATAATCGTTTGAATTAAAAAAAAGATTATATTAAGAAAAATTTTCCCTGATATGAATAATTCGTCAACTAGCGAATTCATTTTGAAATTTAATCCTTTCGCAGAAAAGAATATGATTTATGTTTGAGAAATTATGTAATTACTCGCAAATAGTCAGTATATTTTTTAAATAATCGTTTGAATTAAAAAAAAGATTATATTAAGAAAAATTTTCCCTGATATGAATAATTCGTCAACTAGCGAATTCATTTTTAAATTTAATCCTTTCGCAGAATATGATTTATGTTTGACAAATTATATAATTACTCGCAAATAGTCTGTATATTATTTAAATAATCGTTTAAATTAAAAAAAAAGATTATATTAAGAAAAATTTTCCCTGATATGAATAATTCCTCAACTAGCGAATTTATTTTTAAATTTAATCCTGTCGCAGAAAAGAATATAATGATTTATGTTTGACAAATTATATAATTACTCGCAAATAGTTTGTATGTTTTTAAATAATTATATCTCTCGGGTTAATAAAAATGTCAATAAATATAATTATATCTTATATATAGAAACATTGTATCTTATGTAATCCATTTTACTTGCAAACGCTCACAGTTATTTATCAAGAGTTATGATAATTATGTAATAATGGAGGAGCGGTCTGTCAATTTACGAAACTGAGATATCTCGCGAATTTTCATAATTTTCTAAATTCCTTAATTTAGATAATTATTACAATTATCTCAAGTTTCGGAATTATAATGCTGGACGTTCTCTTACAATGTAACGCTTGATTCGGATCGTTATCAAATGAGGTTACAGCTTCGATTGAGAAATCCAGATGACATTGGCCTTTGGGTTCTGTACCAAATTTAGAAATAAACCGCTTCCGGAGATTGCTTATATGGAACACAAATCTGTTACATACACGCATGCATGCAAGTATTTTATCATTAATCAAATTGATCGTGGATGCAAAATATATTCAACAGAAAATACAATTAAAAAATTCTAATCTTAAAAAGAATATTAAATTTAGAAACTTTTTAAATTATTTAAATTATTAAAATATTATTATTTTAATTATTAATTATTAAAAGTTAAAAATTATTTAAATTTTTAACTTTTCGTAGGTATATTATGTAATTGTCACGATGGAATTTAGCGCGGTTCTTCAGCATCCTCGGGTCGGCTCTGACGTGCGGGTGGGAATGCAGTAATGCAGTAGAGTACGCAAAAAAATATATATTTATATATCGTATGGCAAGAAAAAAAGAGAGAACATACACGACTAATGGGAATGCATATAAAGTATATTCGAGGACGACTTGGTATGCCAAGTCCGACTCGCTTGAGAGAGATGCTCGATAATACGAGCGAGTAAAATCGCGTTTTGCATCCACGAAGTATGCACGTGAGCAGCGAAACTTCCTCTTGCGTGTCGCACCCACGTGGGTTCGGTTATTTTCGATCAGCAAACTCGATAATCAAACAATAAAATGTGTGTTATTTGCGACAATTGAGCTCTTTTATCACTTCACGAATTTTTGTCAAAAATTTCGTTCAAAGGTAATATTTGTAGGCGTGTTTTTCTATTACAAGGACGATAGAATTTTGCAGGGTTGGATAAGTTAATGATTTTTTTAAACTAAGTTAAGTTAAAGTTAGTATCTTATAAAATTAGTTTAGTTTTAAGTTAAAAGTTGCATGAGCAAAAAATTAACTCGGTTAAAATTAGTTAAGATTTAATTAACTAAAGTTCAATCAAAAGTTAATTTTTAAAAACATTATTTATATTAAATTAGAATTTAGTTTGTTAATTCTTTTAAAATTTATAATAACAAATAATAAAGAAATTTTGATTTTTATATAGAAATATATTTTTGGTATAATTACAATTGATGACAAATAAACATAAAAATTATTAATACATTAATTTAAAAATAATACGTTTATAACTTATACAAACCAATAATGGTATTTAGAGATAAAAAAGAATTAATTTAGGAAAAAAGTTGATTAGTTGAAGTTAAAAATTAATACATTTTAAATTAACTTAGCTAAGTTAAAAGTTATTAACTTTTTAACTTTTTTTTAACTCTTAACTAATTAATTAGTTATTACCCAACCCTGGAATTTTGACATCTTTATTGTCCAAATACCTAAATTACATCTTGTCGATTGTCAAGTTGGTCGAGCTTTATAATGTACGAGACTTTTCTTACGCAAATTCCAGGCGGTAAACGAAGCGTGTCAAGCAAGCCGCTACTCTTCGCTTCTCTTGGCTTATCCGAGGAATCAAACGCTTTTCTTTCGTATGCAAAGTAGAGAACTCGAACTCCGGGGGTTCGACATCATGTCAGATGTCCGAATAGATACAGTATTATTTCGCAATGAAAAATCGCTTCGTCAAGATCTTACCTTGAATTACAGACATAGTTTTGGTAAAGAAGAATTAAATAATAAAGAATTAAATTAAATATTTTAATAAATATTTAATAATTATTTAAATAATATTTTAAAATAAATATTTAATAAAATAATTTATTTTAATAAATATTTTATTAAAATAACAATTATAATATCTCTATTGTAGTAATACAATAAATTTTTATCTCTACGAAAAAAAATCTTGATTAATCTGAAGAATATAATTGACTTACAGACATAGTTTTGGTAAAGAAGAATTAAATAAAAATAAAAATCTCCGAGTATAAAGATTCCACAGGTACTTTATTGATAATTAAAAAAATATTTTATTAAAATAACAATTAATATCTCTATTGTAGTAACACAATAAATTTTTATCTTTACGAAAAAAATCTCGATTAATCTAAAGGATATAACTGACACTCGAAGAAAAAAATGTAATGTTGGCGTAAAAGTTTCTGAGATTAAATACCTGGGTACTCGCGACTCGCATAACACGCAGCGATACGCGGTGATTGTAATTCGCAGCGCGACAGACGAGAGAGAGATCGCCCAACACAAACATGATCGACAGTGATTACTAGCTGGACTGCCGCCGATCTCGAGCCAGCAGCTGCACCTTCAATCAGCGCGAACACGCTGCCGTGTAATGCGTATACGATAGACGGCTTCTGTGAGCTCCCGTTTCAGAAGCGATGAACTTAATAAGATTGTTAGACTTGAAACGAGACTCTATTAAAAAAAAAAAAAAAAAAAAAAAAAAAAAAAAAAAATGCTAAGAAACTGAAATTATGTGAGAACAAAGTTGAAGTTGCGATTCATCTGTCATTAATCAAACGAACGATTTGTCGGAGTTTTAGCTCGTTTCTTGCGAAAGTAGCCTCCCTCGTGTGTGTAGATGTGTCTCATCTCGCAGTTTCATAATAATCTTGCTGGACCGCGTGGACTGGTCCCGGATGAAAAATAGACGGGACGGATCGCCGTTACTTCTTTCTTGAGCGGCTAGAGGAGCGTCATTAAAAGGTAGATCGTGGACAGTCATGAAGAAGCGAGTGAACAGGGAGCATCGTAACGACGCTATGAAATAGCATCGTAAAGCCGCACGTCTCCACGCTTATTACGATTAATAGTTCAATCTGTCTTCTTATTACGTCCGAACTCTTTATTTTTAGACGCAGCGATTCATTATTGAGTTAAAATATCGCCAAGCGCGAGAAATAAATTATTTACATGTATCCCAGTTACTTGGCTAAAATAAACTTTTTCTTCATTTCTTCTTCTCCTTCTCTTTGGTCCTCGCTCTTTCGGACATCGAACTGTCAATGTAGATCTTCCTCGATTCGTAAGCAGCGTCCACCAGAGTTCTTCTCTGCCAAAAATTTGTCTCTTTCTTCCTGAAGAAGTTTGCGTACCTTTGTAATTGTTTGTTTATCAGCGCAGCCAAGTAATTGGAGTAATCTTTTTCACTTTCGATTTTCACGTCGCTTCGTAATTTTTCGTCATTGTTCTTCATCCTTGTACGAAGATGTTTTACAACGTCGTCTCTCTTCGCGTACTTTGTCAGGTCTAAAGCGGGCAGGTGAAAAAATCCTGGTGGCTTTAAAGACCTATATTGCCTCGGATGTGATAGACAAAACGCTAGATCTTCATCTTCTATTACGTTCGATTGTTCTACATTCTGGTTTAAAGACGCTTCTGGTTCAAATTTTAAGACGTGCGTCTTCAGGAAGACCTCTCGTAGTTCCTTTCCGTGTTTGAATCGATTAGGATCCTTTGACCACCAGGATTGCTTTAATAATCTTATTTCTAGTTCTCTTTTCTTATCTTGACAGATCTAACAACGCACATATCAAGAATAAAGAGTTGAAAAATACATTATAATTATTTAATAATTAATATATATAAATTTTTTACTAATTAATATTTTAATGAACAGATTTTATTTAAATTGGAATGAACAAACTATACATACCTCTATATCATCCCGAGCATCTGTGACAATCTGAAGAATCCAATATGGTGGTTCTATGGCTTGATCATTATTTAATTGTTTCGAATCTTTTCTCGTCGTAGACAGATTTGACTTTGTCGATCCTTTAGTCCCAGATTGCGTCTTCGTTTTAAAATTTTCCGCGTTCTTCTTCTTTGCCTGATTCACGACTGCCCACTCGGCATCTGTAAGAGGCCAGCTGTCATCAAGAACGAAAGCATCTATGTAATAGAGTTTCTTCTCTTCCATTGCATCTCTAAACTCTTCATCAGAGTTTCCTTTTTTAATTTCATAATCTTTGCTCTTGGAGTGTTTTAAACTGATTAAAGGTAAAAAGACCTTAGAGCCACCTCTTATGTCAGCCAAAATGTTGTTTCCTTCATCGGTAACTTTCATTCTGACTTTTGCCAGGTCGTAAGAAGTTGTCAATCTTATCGAGACGATGTTTCCTAAAGTCGCTCGCATAATCCATCGCGAGATGCAATTCCTGATGTTGGGAACGTAAGTACCAACTAATTCATCGACCACGAGCTTGGGAGGTTTTATCTGCTGCTCGCCTGGTTGATGAAGCATTGGTTTTCCCTTTATTGTGATTATACGAATCGCCCAATCCAGTTCCCGGATACGTTGTTTTTCGTTCCACCCGTAAGCAAATACTGTGTAACCATCTGACAGATATTCATAGCGAGCTGGAGCCACGTGGTTCACGATACGCGTCACTTCGCGTCCGTTTTGATTGTTGAAGACTCGCAAGGCGACCCGAGAAAGATCGATCAACAGTTCGAAGGCTGCGAAGACGCTCTCTGCGGGTTTGGTATTCACGACGAGTCTGACAACCGGGAACCACTGGTCGTGTCTGATGTTTTCCAGGGTACCTTTGAATTCTTGAATATTCAGGACATGCGCGAAATCCTTGGAACAAGGATAGAGATCGTGCAAATTGTGACGGCTGATGACGTTTCTCAGCAATAGACTTGCGATAGACGAATCGAGTAAATCAGATATCTTGAAAAGTTCCTTGCGAATCTGCATATGCAGAGCATGATCCGGATTGTGAAGTCGTTTGTAGTCTTTCACAAGAGCCATCCTGAAGAAGGACTGAATTGACGTAGCTGCTTTATTGTAATCAGAAATATAGATGCGCGGTATTTTCTCTTGCGTTATAAGATCTTGAAGTGTTCTCTGAGTTTTTGTCGAATTCAGTCTAATATTTGGATTCAGGAAAAAAATTCTCAAAAAGCGAAGAGTGCTTTCAAAGTCGCTATCGAGAACGATTTCCTTGATCAATCGGACCTGTTCTTCTATGAAGAACTGATGTATCAGCGAGGAAACATTTTTATCTTCTTTCGAAAGAACATGCTGCGAGTCGGATGACATGTAGCTTTGATAATAATTTTTCAACATTACCGGGTAATTATTCGTTCCGAACGATCGATAAGCTTTGCAGAGACTATCGCTGATTATCTTCGACATCCATTCGATTCTATCGGATTCTGCGGTCATCAGTTGTTGCACAGTAGCTCGATTTCCAAGATAAAAATCCGTATCAGAAGAAATTATCGTCAGACTGGCTTCTGAACGGCGATGAATTCGTAAGAGTTGTCTGCCAGCTTCTAGTTCTAAGACAGTCGATTTGCTGCCGATCGTGGAAATAATTATTTTTTGTTCCGATTGATTTGTTCCGGTAAACCAATTATATTTTTCCAAAATGAGAAAATCTTTCCATTGTGACTCCTTTGAGACATCTCTCTTTCTTGGCGCAGCGGAAAGATTAACCAAGAAGAATTTACTCTCCCGAGAGTCGCAGAACAAATACAAGAATCTATTTCTGGATTTTAGAATTTTGCTTGTAATGTAAATATCTGTATAAATAGAAAATTAGGATTTAGCAAGATAAATCTCATCTTTTATAGAAAAAAAACTTAATCTATTTTATAGAGAAAATAATCCTCGAAAAATTCCTAGAGAAAAAATTTATTCTAGCTTTAGAATTTAGTTTTTCAATTTATTATACTATTGTATTTTCTGACACAATGACAGAATGCATTTTTAAATAAAATACCTGCTTTTTCCTTTTCGACTTCTTTTGTGACCGTGCGGTTTCCGTTGCTTGTCATCTTTATAACATTATTCACCGTCACTTGAATCGAGCACCGCAAATACTGCAGCTTATAAAACAAATGCACTTCCCTCAAATATGAGGCAATAGTATTAAAGTCAATCCATCGACTGACATCTTCCGTTGCCTCTTCTTTCATCGTAGTGGGCGAATCTGGTGCTCTCTGAGATCTCGTTCTCCATGCAGATTTATCAGACTGCTCGATCTCGTTTGGAAAGATCGAGTTTCGCGCAGCATCACTTTCGTCGTAAATATAGACAGCACTCTCGTTGCATTTCGCGAGAGGACCGATCACCCTCAAGTAACGAATCGGAACGAAATAATCGGCGGGATCGATTACACTTTGCGAAACGGCCCATTTTAACCAGCGATGCAGTTTCCACTTTGCTAACGGGGCTTTTACCTCAAGGGAAGCAATTTAAGTTTGAAAGCCAATTACAATCCAGGTAAAAACAAACATCTCACAAAAATAATAAAAATATAATATTGTTTTAATAGATTTTTTTCTACGAGATTCTTTAAACGTGATTTTTGACACTTTTGAAATAGTTGAACTTTTACGTCTTTGGGATCCAGAGGAATGTTGCGTGACTGAACGACGTGAATTACGTGATCCCAGCAAGGTGATAGACCAGGTACCACCTCGTTTCCGAGTTCTCGGATATCGTTCAAGAGAAGAAACAGCATGATCGGTTGAGGTTTCTCGGTTTCGATGAGTGGCCGCAAAGTTTCTTCAGGTCTCCTCGCCTTGTCGGTCAGAACGTTGTTCGTGGAGCTTTCTATTCAGAATAAAATATAATAAATAGAATGTAATAGTAATTGAAGTTATGATCTCTCTTCCTTGCACGTGTATATTTGACACACCTGGAATCGTGTTACCACGAGTAGTTTGCGACGTCCACTCGAAATGCTCGGAATATTTCATCAGGAAGTCCCACTTATCTTGCGACGACAAGTGCGTGACGTCTAGCGTCAAGCAAATCCAGCCTGTGCCATTATTTAAGTTCATTTATTAAAGAATCTTTCGATATCGCCGAGAAGATAAATCAATATGATTGTCTGTTAATGACAGGGGTGAAAAGCGCGCGCCATTCTTCAATTTTATATTTAAAAAATAATATTAAAAAAATAATTAAAGTTTTATTTAAACTCGAATTTTTTGACAGAAATTAGCTTATTAAAGCGTTAATTTGCTAATAAAATTTTAAAGTAATAATTTGTTAAAAATATTAAAGTAGTGATATGTTGTAAACGTATGTTACAGTATTTTATCCGCGATTAATACTTTTTGACAGAAATCAGCTGATAACTGTCAAAAATATTAATCAAATTTAAAGTGTTATAACATATTATTTAAAATGTATAATTTTAATTTTTATAACATATTATTATTTTAAAATTCAGTTAGCAAATTAACGTTTTAATCAGCTGATTTCTGTCAAAAATATTAATAAAGCGTTAATTTACCAATCAAATTTTAAAGCAAAAACATGTTAAAAATATTAAAATAGTGATAGTAAATAATATTATGTTATAGTACCTTATCCGCGATTAACACTTTTTGACAAAAATCAGCTGATAACTGTTAAAAATATTAATCGAGTTCAATGTATTATAACATATTATTTAAAATGTATTATAATTTTAATTTTTATAACATATTATTTTAAATTAGCAAATTAACGCTTTATTAATATTTCTTTTTTGACAGAAATTAGCTGATTAAAGTCAATCAGCATCGCGGAATCTCATATTAAAAATTAATAAGAATTTAAAGATATACACTTTGCTCAAAGTCGTATATGTAATTTCAACTTCTTTTTAAAAACGTCGATGAATGAAAGAAACGATGAATATATTGACCTGTTAAACAAGCGATTGGATGAAAGTCGACGATCTCGCGGTGTTCTGTCCAAGTCAGTGAAGCAACCTTGAGCAGTGCCTTGGTGAGGAGTATCGGCCACAATTCAAAGTTGTTGGAGGTACAAGGTAAAAGGGGTCTACCCCCTTTATCTACAGGTACAGTATCATCTACCAGAATACGACGCCAGCATCCCATATGATGTAATCTCACAACATACTTCCCTAAAAAAGATTGTAGCGCGTATTGTGCCTGTGATATGTTGATTAGTTGACATTTCGCTACCAGCGAATTATCGTTTAGCTCGTTCCATTTATCGTAAGAAATTTTTTTCCGATACGACATGAAACGAGAAGCAAGCGACTGCGTTTAAGAAAATTAAAAATTTCTGCATCGTGAGAATATCATATCCACCATTCGGATTTATCACTGGTCGATGCTGAACACCTTTTCCAGCCTTGTTCAAGGAATATACGTGCATCCAACCGTACCAGGGCCTGTGACCATCGGCCCAGGTGAAATTTGTGCCTTGCCCGCTAATTTCCAACCCTTTTCGGCCACAATATTCCAAATTCTTGATTGTAGAAATGAACCATCTTACAAACTATTGTAGAAATTGCTATTATTATATTATTGTTCCGCAGCAATTTGTAATTTGAATTTTACGCTGACTTATAATTACAGAAATACCTCGCTGTGCAGTAAATGCTTGTTATTTGTAATTAGATCAGGATATTCCGCGATCGTCGTGTATATCGTCAACAAATTCTGAAGAGTATTTCATATTCATGTATGTAAAAGTAATTAACAGTATTACAATGAAATCTATGACATTTTAAAGCTTAGAATCATAATGTATTATTAAATTTAAAAAATACGTGTTTTTTTATATCTAAATTGAATAAGTGAAAGTACAGTCAAGCGCTGCAAATTCTTTGCTCTTATCCATCGGTCAGGTTTCAAGGATTGTGGCATTGTGACATATTCTGTATCTAGGAATAATCCATCAGGACCATTTTTTGGGATTCCCCATTTTTCGTTGTTCAGATCGGAATCCTTCCACTCCGGCCACGTTGCATTTGCGGTATCAGATTGATTATTTCTAGATTTTTCTGACATTATGTATGGGAAGATATCGTAAGAATTGATATGTAAATCGGCATCTTCAGACAACATATAATATGTGTGTGCTGTATGTATATGTGTAGAGTAAAACATATTTAATATAAATTAAATAGCAATAAAAACACCAACTTTTTGGAAAAAGTAAATATTTATTGATCCTTTATATATTATAACATTATTATATGGACAGAATGGAATGTAGTTATACCTTCGGTAATCGTAAATGAAAAATTTGATTAGAAGAAACTATATTCTTAATGTTTAATATAACAAATACGTGTTACAAAAAAAGAATAAGGTAAAATTAATTATAGTCTAAAATATTCTAAGAAATATCCTAAAAATTAATTGGTAAAAATTCTACGAAAGACCTACAAAGTTCTACATCAGCGTGATTTATTTGTCATTTAATAGTCTCAGCAATATTTTTAGCCCCTTCTCTGATCGATAAAATCAAAGTTATCTCATGTATATACACAATTTTTTTTTAATTATAATTTCATAACAATATATATAGCAAAAAATGCTCAGTATTGATCGATTCAGTAATTAGTATATCACTACTCTTGCACTTTTGTTGAACCAATTATCAACTTATATTATTATCAATATTTCTTTCGTCTTTCAGCGCGCGCGTAATTAACAGCATCGTTGCCATTCGGTTCGTCGCTAAGTCGACATTTTAATCAGCGTGGAATTGCTCACAATTATATACACATTTGATCATTAGAACAGATGACACGCCACAGTACGTTTTCCGTTTATTAATAATTTAGATCCATAAATGAGTCTTTTTTAGATAATAACAAATATATCGTGTTATAACAAATACGATTTTTTTAAAGTTTCAGAATTAGCTTCAATTAAAAGGTATACTTTCGAGGAAGTAATCTCAATAATCCTGCAGAGGATAAATAGAATGAATTATGCTTAATACTTGGTCAATTTTAAACAGACATGAGTCTTCACCAGTATAACTTTGTTACAATTATTATTTTTTTTTTTTTTAGAAGAAGGAATATTTGTATGACAAATATAGAAATTCATCCAATAAGTATCCTTTTTTTCTCTCTTTCAATAGATTCACTTTATAGCGCATCGAGAATCTTTGGCACTATTCGTTAGGAGTTTCTGTCCTACACATATAAGCAAAAATAATATTCACACATCATTTTTTTTCATCTATAAAGATTCGTAATTTCTCCTCTATCTAAAACTTTTAAAAAATATTTTGTTCAGCAGAGAGAATAGTTAAGTATCTTATATGCGAGAGTGAATCAAGTAGTAAAGTGTATCTTGCTTTTAGAATCGATGCAATCGACAATGCATTTTCTTCATTGATTACATATTAATACTAATGAAGATAAAAGAGACGCGCAAGACTTTTACATAAATAATGATGCAAAAGAATCTTTTATAAAGATTTTAGATTTTGAAAAGCTTTTTAGAAATCATGACACGTGACTATAATCGAAAGCTTTTTTCTCGTGAATTCACTTTATTTCTTGACTCTTCCTCGCGCGATTTGTTTGTTGGTGTTATTCATTCACAATTGTTTAGCAACTAAGAGAGCTATCTAAGATAGCGATTCTTGGTGGTGCGCGAATATCTTTCTCATTCACTGTGTAACGTTTACGCACAATATATTCTTTAAAAAAATAATTCTCTCGTTCCTTATATATTGAAGTGAATTGAAAAACACGCACAAAAATATATATATATATAAAATAATGAACCTATGATCTCTCTCTCTCTCTCTCTCCCTCTCTCTCTCTCTCTCCCTCCCTCTCTCTCTCTCTCTTTCTTGAGGATGTGCGAACATTGAAAGGCCCTCCGCGTTTATCGCGAACGAATGTCCGAAAATAATTCGCACCCTCAAACTGGCAGTGTTTGAGAAACCTGTTTTGCGCGCGCAATTAAAGCTCCGTGTAAAACAGGCATTATAAAATTCTTGATAATACTAAAACCGATGCTAGTTACTGGCGTGTCACATAAATTGTCGAGGTCATCGAGATCTGCAAATGCATTACATGTACATTTTTTGTGATTCACATTTACGATTGACAAATAATATATTTATCGAACATATAGCTCTCTCGTATTTAGTTTAGTTTACTCAATGTTCGACCAAATAGCCAGATACTAACGGCAGTTATCACTAGACGGTCAAAACTAAAAAGTTGTTTAGTTATTGCATTGTTCTATAATAATGCTTTCATACAACTGATACTTTTAGCACAGTCGCTAAGCTATAGAATATTGATTATCAATTACTTACTGTTGCAGACATGATAGTCTACGCAAATACACAATTAAGTCTATCTGAACGGAATCAAAGGCCTGAGTGCAAAAATCGGACGAGTCCGTTATTTCGATACTTTTCTAACTTAAGGAGAGATAAAAAAAGGAAAAAATAAAAATTCTTGGATGAAGAAGAAAAGTAAGCATAGAATCTTAGAGAAAGTAGTTTGGAAAGTAGTTTTCGTGAGATAAATATTAAAGGTACTTTTCACCAACTATCAGTACAGCTGTTAGTTAACGTACGTTTAAAATTACGAAATATTTTCTATTTGATTCTTTTTACTTTTCCTATAACATTTTAAAAGAATGTCTTCGCAGTTTAGATTGGTGTCGCTTGGTTCTTACAACGAAATATTTTAAGTCGTTGCCTTTTTGAATCAGAACCAGACTATTCAGATAATATCTTCTTCCATTAAGTAAGCAAGATAAGAATTGTGCGACGATGAGTGAATGAGGAATCGATAATATAATCGAAAGTAGGTAAATAAAACAAAAAAAATTCATCACAAATGGGACGTGTCGTGAAGATATAAGTTACCGTTTGCTTTAGCGTAATTAACATTTTGCCTTGCCAGGTCCAGATGCTCTTTGATCCTCCATCCGTCCGGCTTGAAGTCTTTGTATTAGAGCAAATAGATCTTCCTCTGGCACAGTGGAGCCCGATTGAGCGTTTCCGTTAGCTCGTCGACCCCTCTCTTCTTCAGCATCCTGCACGGTTGATGCAGCGGGTAAAGGACTCCGTTGATCCTCCAAACGCGAACTCTGAAAGCGAATACATAATTCTTGAGGTATGTCTTTTTTATAAGACTCAAAAATACAACACATGTTTCAATACGCGTCATATGCATAAGAAAAAAATATAAATAATGTGAAAGATTCCTTACGACAATAAAAGTTTTTAGCGTGTTAATATTAACCTGACATCTGACGAGCATTTCGATAAAGGAATCGTCCGCATCCTGATTGGAATTCAGCCCTGGCAGGTAAGGTAACGTCACTCGTTGCTCGTCCATCCGTTTGCTTTGCATTCCGGCGATTAATTCTAGTAAGTCCTCGCCGTCTCTGCAAGAGATATAAGATATCCGTTAGTTATAAAAATGTAAAGCAATAAGTTGTCATGAGTTATAATAGTATTTTGTCTAGAATAGAATATTTTCACGTACTTATCTTCCATATCGGATACTTCCGGCGTCGTTCGGTATTTTGAGTTGTGTTTTGTGTTGAGCGCACAACGTTGATCGTCCATTCTACCTGACTGAAATCGGGACAGTAAATCGAAAAAGTTATCTTCTTCCTGGGATGGTTGCGAAGTAGCATTGTTGCCTTTGTCCAATACGATTTCTGATTTATCTTTTTGCTTTGTATCAGGTGTGAGCTGAAATAATTGTTAGTTTTATTATTTAGTAAATAAAGTTATATTCCAAATAAAAGTAATTTTAATTTTAATAAGAGTCATTTTATACAATATCTCCTGATATAAAACTAAATTAATTATATAACGAGAAAGAAAAACAAATTGTAATCTCACAATAGTGCGATTCTTAAATTAAAGAAATATTATTCAAACCTTTATGAGATCTAGATTGTCCATGCTTTGTCTTCTGAGTCTATATCTGCAGGGTGTAGTCGTTGGGACGTTCGATGTTGTGTTTATAGGTAGCTTTTGCGTGTTCACATTCTCCTTGTTATTCTCCTGCTGACTCTTCTCCAGACCGAGAATTTTGTGTAAGTCATCAATGTTCATCTGCGCGGTAGCTTGACCCATTTCATCTTCCAACTCTTTCGAGATGTGTAGATGCAGATTCGCATAGTAGAGCGCTTTCTCATGATTGCCCATTGCGGCATAAGCGTTGCCAAGCGACCAGCAGGCGCGTCCTTCGCCAACGCGATCTTTTAATTGTTGAGCTATACCTAGATGCCACAGATGGTACTCAATAGCCGCTGAATAGTCGCGTAGAAGAGTATACGTGTTGCCCAGAGAGTAGCACGCTTGCGCTTCTACTTCGCGATCGCCCAACTCTTGTGCAAGAGCTAAAGTTCTCCTAAAAATTGAACGATTTTTCTGTGTATTTAAACGTCAAGATGCACAATTAAATCAAGAAAGTTTAAAATTTACTTGTAATGTTGCGCAGCTTTCTCGAAGTCGCCCAGAAATATGTGCGAATTCCCGAGATTACTGTTGGCTCTTCTCTCAGCCGGCTTGTCGCCAAATTCTCTGGCAATTTTTAAGCGTTCATTGTGATAGTAAATGGCTTGTTGGAAATCACCCAACAAATAAAATGTATTGCCCAAGTTACCGCATGCTCTGCCTTGCGCCGCAGAATCTTCCAGTTCTCTCACCAACTCCAAATTTTCTCTGCAAAAAGACGCAAAGAGTATTAATAAAATTGTAGATAATATATAATTTAAAAAATTAATAAAAAATAATTATGAATTAATCGAGATTAATCTTACTCGTAATAGCGTACAGCCTGTTGTAAGCACTGCTGAACATCTTCAGAAAACTCTCCTGGATCCTGATGACCTATTCGACTTGCCTGTTTGCCCTTGGCATGGTATACATTTCCCAAATTGTACAGAGCTCTTCCCTCGCTAAGCTGTGCATCACAAAATCATAATTTTAAAAATTTAATTAAAATAATAAGAATAAGAAAATAATTAATTCATGGAAAAAAACAATCTCAGTTTTTGTAAAAAAAACTTTTATCCTTTGTTGTTTTTTTTTTTTTAATTAAAATTGAGAGTTGAATTTCTTGCAGTAAAAATAATCTCTCTTATGTAAGTATAAATAAATTAGGGAAGTTTATAAAAACACATAAAGATAAAATATCTAAAGTGATAATCTATAAGTGATTGCATGGTACGGTCGCTCGAACTCAGTATGTATCAGTAATGGTGGTTGTCATACACGATGACTTGTTTAGCAACATATGTAACAAAATCTAAAGCTGACTTTATATATGTATTATCTTGACATTGTTAATAACCATCTTTAATGTTTAATATTACAATTCAGTTTTTAATTAAAATATTTTTATTGTGCTGAAGAAGGCTTGAAATGTTAGCCGAAACGTTCGCAAAATGTTTATTTCTTATGTATTTATTATTTGGTTTAAATAAATTTTATTAATATCAACTGTCAACTGTATTACGTTTAATAGCTCTTATAACCCTTCTTTGTTTATAATTATTAAGTAAAAATAATGTTGAAGTATACCTTATCTCCAATCTCTCTGGAGATCTCTAGATGCCTCTTGCAGCATATCATGGCTTCGTCAAACTTGCCCATAACTTTCAATGTATTGCCCAAATTTCCACTGGACTTGGCTTCACCCAGTTTGTCACCCATGTTCCTGGCAAGTGTCAGATCCAACTTGTGATACTGCATCGCCTTAACGTAGTCACTCAGATAAAAGTACGCATTGCCCAGCTGGCTGTAGATCGCACTCAGTATTCGCAGGTCATCCGTGCCAGCTTGAATCGCTGCCTGGAAGAATGCTACGCCAGACTTGCAGTCGCCAGCCTTGCAAAGGCGTTCGCCCTCCAGTGCCAGTTCCAGGCACATGTTCCATCTCTCGCTATTCTGCTAAATTGTAAAATATCATATATATACATGTATATATTATAAAATATAAAATGTTATTAATAAAAATTCATAGTAAATTACTTTAGCATTATAAAATATATATAAATATATAAAATATTGAATAAAGAAAACATCACAGATTTGAATGGCATAATGCACAAATCTGCACTGGAATCTAAATTTGGCACAGAGAACCGGTGGAAATCGACGGAGAAACGTCAAAGAAACAAACTCGACGGAGATGAGTCACCCGCGTGGGAGCCTCAGCTACGTTAATCGGACGTTGATTCACTCACTTGTCCCTCGGACGAGAGATTCTCTGCGCTGGCGCTCAGAGACATCCTAAACTCGGCCAATTGTCCCTTCAGAATCCAACGTAATTGTTGAAGCGTCGAATGTCAGACTGTCGTGCGTTGTTGTTATCAACTTGCGAAGCGGCGACGATTGATACTCGCATGCTCGACGTCCCAAGCGTTCCACTCCGCTTACGTAGGAAAGAATCCGCTCATGATCGCGTCATCCTTCGCCTCTTCCCTCCCGCGAGAAGTGAGGTGTCTCTCCCGGAATTTTTTTATCCTCCCGAAGGCGAAGCCTCTCTTCGACGCGAAGCGAGTCCTCGACGCGTCCAAACGAATGGCGCTGCTTTAGAAAGGGAAACTTGTCCTAGAGTTTCACAGCTCCCATTGGACAGCCTCAAAAAACACCGGATGTTCCGTCAGTTCCAACAGATGGTGTCACTGTCGGAGTAAACTCCAGCTGGCATTTTTGTTCCGAGTTTCCGAGAATGAGCTGAAGGATTTTTTAATCGCGTGTTTATAGGGTTTAGGATTTTTCGCGCACAAAAGAAAAAGGAGAGGAACGCCGAGGAATATCGTCCTCAGGAAGATCGATGCATCCGCGATCGTTCGCCGGGAGAGTCGCGTGTTGCACCACGTCGTCCTCACCTGGCGAAGATCTCGAACGACGCAACCTCCCTACTGTGGAGTTTTCATCTCGCCGGCTTGTCGCGAGTAGAGGTAGCCAAAGAAAGAGAGAGAGAAAAGTATCTGCGAGTCTTGTTCTCCCTGATTAGTTGGTAGCTTTTCCCAGCTTTCAACTATGAGCGACAAAAAGCAGGTAGGTGAAAAACCCAGTAGCGAGGTTGCTAATCGATTTGGAAGCTGTAGGGATCTGAGCGACACTGTGCCGTTGTATCCACCGCGCTTACTTTATCTGAAACCGCTTGCCAAAGTTTACGTGTCGATCAAGCTGCCCCAACTGAAGACTCCAGGTAAAAAACATCATTGCCAAATTCATCAGTGGCCTCCTCACCTACTGAGGTTGGACCCTGATGAGCCTATCTTCTTTTTCCTACTTTCTAATTTTAATGTTTTTCCTTTCTTTTTTTCTCCATTGAGAAACAGCATCTTGCGATGCAGCAAAATATGCATAACGCAGCATTGGAATTGTATAAATATGTCTTTGTTAAACTTCTTTTGATGATTACTCCATAATATTAATTATTTTATTATTCGTGCATTATTTTATATAATTTATGTAATGTTATTTTTCAAATTGATTTATATTAATTTTAAATACACGTTTTTCCTACTGTTTACCATCTTGTCAATATTTATTCGATCAGTGATTTGCATTATTGGCATTAATTCTCTTCGATTTGTTGCAACAAGTTTTTTACATCGTCGCAATTGTATACTTGTGTTAGTGCTTTGGACAATTTCTACCAAAGGGAAAATAATGTAGTATTCAACTGATGGAAGAAAATACCATGATTTCAAGTGATCTGTGCGAAGCCACGAGCACTTGTAATGGCTATAGGAAAGATAGCTTCTTACAGAAACTTAACTGCGCTATGAACAGGCAAAACAATATCAACATGGGATGTAATGGAGAAGATACGTGCACTCATTCTGCCGGACGAGTTTGCATCCCTGAAAGTGGCCAAGAGCAACCTAGAGTTTATCTGCTTGGTGGGCTACTTGCAGGACCGGTGCAAGTTGTCAAAGGTATTGGCCAGGTTAAGCTCCCAGAGCTTGCATCTAACTGGATTCCCCAATGTTCTCAAGGTGCGACAGCTAAATACAATTTTATATTACACAGTTATAATTTATTATATTTTATTATATTTTATTTTATTTTATTTTATTTATATTTATATATAATATACAATATTTTATTTTTATTATCTTATATATTATATTTTATTATATCATATTATTATACTTATTATAATAGAATTATATCAGAACTACACAATAATTGATCATTTAATTAATTAAGGTCTCAGTGACCGAGGCAAAGGACGACTTCCCAACCAGACACAGCTGGGATTCTTACTTCAGGGATGCAAAACACATGAACGAGTTGAAGGCTGGCGAAAGGCCGGACACTATCCACATTACCGGGCTGCCGGTTAAGTGGTTTGCCGAGGATGGTACGAACGTCCCGAGCGAGTCGCTTATCCGTGACATTTTCAAGAGGTGGGGCACTGTGAGGAAGGTAGATGTGCCTACCGCAGACATTTATAGATCCAGGATGCGGCTTGGCAATAACATACACAAGTTTAGCTTTGAAGATGGCATCTTTTTCGACGCGTATGTACAATATTACGAATACATGGATTTTGTCAAGGCGATGGATGCCCTGCGTGGCATGAAGCTGCTGAAGAAGGACGGTCAACAGTCACTGACCGCAACAATAAAGGTATTCAGTGAAAAATATTTTACTTATTATATCAATATTTTTCATCACTTTGTGATATAAAGGATTAAATAAGCAGAATAAAAAAATAATATTTTTTGACAAGTAAAATAATTTTGTATAGGTTGATTTTGACAAGACCAAGCATTTGAGTGACAGTTCGGTGTCGCATCGAGAATTCGAGAGAAAGCGTTTAATAGCGCAGGATAATTTAGCAGCGGAAAAACTACGAAAAAGAGAAGAGGCAGAAAAGAAGCGACGAGAGGAGCAGAAGTAAGTGCTGATGCAACAGAAATATTGTAATATTTTGCAAATATGTGTATGTGACACATACATACAGAATATTTATCTTTTATATGGTTTAGATTACATGCCATTTTTATTTACTTTGATTGTAGAAAAAAAGAGGCGGAAGATTCGGTAGCAAAAGCAAGTCGGCAGCGAAAGCGAGAGGAAAAACGAAAACGAAAAGTACTCACGACCTATCGCAAGCAAGAAGAGGACAAAGTATCAATGAAAATTGCTAGGGAAGAAAAAAAATTGATAAAAGCTCAACGACAGTTGGAAAGCATACGATTATTAGATGAACTATTTGATAGGATAAAGGTGAGTAATAAAGAATATGTAATAATAATTTTAAAAAAAGGATATAAGAGAGTTAATTATGAACGTTTTGTAATTACAGATAAAAGTAGAAAATAATGAGATTAAGTTGAATCAAAGTGCGGAAACGAAGAAAGATGAAAAGAAAAATGATCAAACGAATGAAAGTGCTAATAAATTAGATTCCGAAAACGACAAGAAAAATAAAGAAAAGACCAAGAAGAAGAAAGCGAAGAAAGAAAAGAAGAAAAATGTATGTCGTTCAATTTTACATTAGCACTAACTCTTTGTTGTAATAATATTTAATATTTAATTTAATTTAAGAATTGATATTATAATACTATTGTACTGTTGTTTACAGAAAAAGAGTAAGAAATCTCAGAAAAAACGGAGAAAAGACGATGATTCCCGTTCTAGCACAGCCGAAGAAGAGGAAACAGATGAAAAGACGAACAAAAAGAAACTCAAGAGCAGCGTTTTGATAAAGAGCGATCGCGCATCTTCATCGGCAGGTAAATTTTAATCGTATAAAATCTAATGTTAACATACATCTGTACGATAAAAAGAGGCCAGACAATATCATGTCGTTAATTGCAGTTGTTCCAGCCGCAAATCTTTCTTACGAACACTCTTATTCCGATTCTTATTCGATGTCGAGGATGTCGATGATACCGTCAATCGCGCCAGCGCCGTTCCATGCGATGAGGATATTGCCAAGGTATCCAGGAGCGCAGATGTTGAGGCCGCCAATGCCAGACTATTCGTTGATTCCTCATCATCACATGTTACCCATGCCTAGGGGAAGAGGCCGAAGATACAATCCTCGATGCGATATAAATTCTTACGCACTGACCAATCCTTATTTATACAACGGACAATATTATGAATACTTTACGCATCTGGTGGATCGAGATTCGGAGCGTCAAAACTCGAAAACGCGCGGCCGTCGAAGATCGAAGAGTAGATCTGTCTCGAAGACGAGAACCAAATCGAGGTCCAAGACGAAATCCAGGAGCGTTTCCAGATCACGTAGTAGGAGACGGAGCGATTCACGCTCCAAAGACAAAAGATCAAAGTCGGGCTCTAGATCGCGATCGCACCGTTCCAAGTCATCCAGGAGTCATAGCAAATCCCGTGGTCGTCGGAAATCGGCAAGCAGATCCGCCTCCAGGAGGAGGACCAGATCGGATTCTAGATCAAAGCGCAAGAGTGACACTAAATCACGCAGCAGATCAAACTCCAAAAGACGCTCGAGATCCAGACGAAGATCGCGATCCAGAAGTCGCTCCAGATCCCGGGGCAGATCTCGTTATAAGAAGAGACGCAGAAGATCCTCTAGCGTTAAAGTTACGCGAGCGAGGTCACGGCCGACGTCACCCAAACGAAAATCGCGCAGCAGTTCCTGGTCTTTACCAAAGTCCCCTGATCGGCGAAGTTGTTCTTGGTCGAGAACGGCCGTTCCTGCGAATAATATTAGTAAGCAAGACGTAAACGAGTCCAATAAAGGGGAGGAAGCAGCGAAGACAGCAGAAGTGCAGAAGGAAACAAAGTGATAAGTTATTTGCATAATATTATTCCATTTTTATTTTAAAACGTAACAGAAACAGTTTTTTTCAATGCAGTGCTACGTGTGACAAACTTATTGAAGTTGATATATTAGTAATAGTAATATGCGAATGTCTGAGAAAATATAAATATGACTTTTTTCTTATATATGTTTTGCAAATAAGTCTATTATCAGATAGAATTTTCTCTAAATTTTATTCGACAGATTTGATTACGATATTATATCCACTTAAAATTACAAATTTATTTTGTAAAATGACTTTCTGATAAGAGAAATAATTACCAAGATTATTACATATATTGTATTATTTGTTCTTCTCGACTGATTCTTTTCCATTTTATCATTCTGCTCTCTTGCTCACTTCCTTTCACTGTTGAAATTTTCCAGTCCTAATGACTCTCTTCTTATTCTTCTCGTTATTATAATGAGCCAAGGGAAATCGCTCGACATAGGGAACAAGAAAAAGACCGAAAACGCATCCTTCCGACTTGCAAATTTATTTGTTCTCGGCATGAAAACGCGTTGGTTCATAGACATCGTAATAGTTTACATACGCGCGTTCCGTCCCGTTCGTTAAATGGTGATCGATCAGCTTCGTAATTACACTAGTAGTTTTCAAAGAGTATCTCGACTGGGCCCTATTTTATTTTCAACGCAAGGATCGCAATTAAAATTAAATATCGCTTAGTGCCATGTCATTCGTATATTTTCTCTCCTTTAAAAATATGTGCTACGTTTCTGTCGCCGCTATATTATAGTTAAATTAAATACACGTGACGTATGTACATACTTGGCGCACAATCGCATATATCCCACATAATTACTGGTAATTTACTCGTCGCAAATTTACGCTCTTAATCACCGTTGATGTGTCGAGTCTAATAATGGAAGATACATAACTTGTCGTTCTCCGTTTCTCCTCTTGAAATTACACCCTCTGGTTTATTATAAACTTTACTGGGGTTATGCTTCCGTTCTCTTCTTCTTATTTCTTCTTCCATATAATTATCCCCTAAGTTGATCCTATCCTCGGAATTGATTAGATATTGACTACTTTCAAGATTCGTTGCGTGGGATTTGTTCTTTTAGATTAAAGCGACGCGGACGATAGCATCTCTTTCTTTTCCCTTAGTTAGTCTTAAGCTATATTAATCGCGTTCTCCGAGTTGGACGCTAATTATATCAATTAATTATTAGCGACTTCATTTTTTAAACACTTGGCAAATTTTCCCAACGCACAGATTTGTCATCACTTTCATGCCGCCATTCATAATTATAATTATAATTCGTGCATTCGCAACTGTATAATTTTCAAATTAATTTTACGAATAAAGTTCCTAAAAATGTATAAGCGATAAAAAAAATAGAACAGTAACATTGAATTTTTTCAAAATAGCGAAAGAATCAACGTGAAATTTTCGAGCAGAGTTCTTTAGCATTTTCTAATCGGTATCGAAAGAGGTCGAGTCTCGCGAAAAATTGGCACAAGCTCGCGAATGGCTAGTGATGAAAAATAATCCTTTTCGCCAAGATTTTATATATTTTTCCCCCTTTTTGGCGATTTTAACGCAAAGCGCTATCGTCCGCGTGAATCTTTGTTAAAAGCGAGAACCTCAGAAGAGCGTCGTCACAATCGTTCAAATCTAGGAATCACAGAAATGTCTGACTGCTCTTCGACAATCGACATCGTTTACATCTCATTAAATGTGTGTGTGTGTTGAGACGATAGTTATAATTATATATTATATATTTAAGAAACTATCTAATGAAATTACATAAAGAAATCTAGAAACCGAATTATTTTCCAAATTTCAAAAAAGCTCGCAAGTTCTAGCAAAGTCATGCTTAATTTAAAGAGAGCTCTAGGAATACGCAATTCCGACGATTATACTCAATATATTTCGTGGATCCCCTAAAATCTCACCTATATTTCTAATCATCTGCATAACAATTTTCAGAAAATGTCAAATTACACGAGAACTCTCTTTAAGCATAGATTCTAAATTGTTCAAAGGCGCAAGTTTTTTTTCTCAGAGTCGAAATTATGAAAGTATAAATTGTTCAAATCAAAGATTCTTCTTTCCTTATATTAATAATTTCATCGAAATACAGAATACCTCAGACCCTATCGAGTTCCGTTTCATTTACCACTTCAAAAGTTAGTCGAAGAACTCGCAGATGACGATGTATACGTAAATATAATGACATATATATATAATTATAACTATAATGAGAACAATCTTTCGACCGCGTAAGAGTTACATCGCGCCTTACATGATTTTCGAAACAGCGAGATGTAAATTATCAAACACGACACCCTGTGTGCTACTTTCTCGTGAGCTCGACCTGTCACGAAGTCGGCTCGATATCGAAAGGATACACAGAAGATGCAGCGTATTAGAAGGATGAGTCCCTTTTGAAAGGATCCTCCAAGTCCCTAGGTAGGATGATCGCTTCGCGAATCGCCTGGATTTCAAACTATCGATTTGTAGCAAACACGAATTTGATCAAGGAGACCATGAGCGTCCGCGGCATTTTTTTTCTAGAAGGGGGTCATAATTAACATTTTTTTAATTTAATTTTTTTATTATTTTATATTTTTATTTTTTTATATTAAATATGCAAATAAATTCCAGCGTTTTTTTTGTTATTCAAAAGGAGAGCAAATGCTTAACTTTTTTATTCTTGCTCTCCTCTGCGGACGTCCATGAAGGAGTCTGAGAATCATTGATGATATTCGTGGGTATGAGAATATTCGATGATCGAAGAAATAAAGTCCGGAAAAAATTAAGAAACAATTACGACTTGATTTTCTCCAAGAATTGCAACGATGATAATTTCTTTTGTGTGTAAAATTGTAAAATGCGATTTTTTTAGCGCGTTTTTAGACGAGTTGAAAGGAGCGTATATTTTTGAGAGATTGAAAGAAATATTTAAACAATGCGTTCTTTTTTCCGGGATTGGCGGGCAGTATATCTCTTGTATTTCTCTCTTTCTACATTCGTAATAAATCTCAGAGATGTAGCAAAAACTTTTTGCGAGAGACAGACGCTCCAGGTTGCTTTTAAGCGTATTTTATTTTTTACATATATACTTTTCTGGAATCTCGACTGGCAGATAATATTAACGTTAGACTATCGGATATTATTTGATGAAGGTGTTGAATCGTCACGAGAATATCGATCTGACATAATGATTTATGTGTTGAAACTCTGGAAAAAAATCATAAACGTACATATATATGTCCCGAATATAACAAACATCTAGATTGCGAGGATTTGAGATCCTACGAGGGGTCCGATGTTATAACAACACTTGAATTCAAACTTTAAAAATTGCAAATCGCGAAGGATACACAGTCCTGAGTCTTCAATTTAATGCTCGACCATTTTGTTAATTTTAATGAATTTTTTTTCATAGATCTTTTTCGAAGATTCCGAGGATATTCGAAAAGCGTCATTCGCGACAGAATTTCAAGGATCCAAGATCTCCGAAGGTATAAAAAAAAAATCTGAAGAGTCAAGAGAGTTTTCCGAATCTTGAATTTGAAGATCCTCTCTCGGAACTCTTCGTCGAGAAGGATCGTTCGCTTCGAAGGATCTATTCGAGGGAGTTCTCCAGGATAGTGTCCACATATATATATATATATATATATATATATATATATATATATATCACATATACGTGTTCAGACGACAGTTGATCAGAGATGGAAGGTGGGATAGTCGTTGAATAGGAACGCGTTAACCGGTCGAACGTGTTTGAACCGCGAAGTTCCGTTCGCCTGTGTTCGAAGTTAATTTTATAGTCGATTCGTTTAGCGGAGTCTAAAAAAATATCGTTAAGTCTCGTCGTAAGAAAAGTTCGCTCTCTCGGTGTGTGCTTCGTATAGTATCAAAACCACTTTTTTTTTTTTAAAAGCCCTACGAGTTTTTTTTCTACCGCGATGATGCACTCGCATGCCTCTTGTTTTTTTATTTTTTTATTTTTTCATTTCTTTTTTAAACAGTGCGCGCCTCTTCGTTCTTTTCTCTAACGAATGTGTGTGTATTTCAGTTATTTTTATATACTCATATATACGTATATATATATTTTATATACTTTACTTTATCTCTGTATATATATATATATATTTTTTTTTTATGTATATATACGTAATTATATATGTATGCTAATTTGTGCCTTGCCCTATGTCCGCCGTCGTAATTAAAGTAATCGAGAGACTAGTAATTAATTAGTAACAACTTACATATTATATATATATATATTTTAGCCAAGTTAGAATATATGTATATGGGTTTTTCTCTTTGGATATATATATATATATATATATATATATATATATGTATATGCTTTATATTTATATATAGACCTATTGCCCTAAACCTGTGTAGGAAGGAAACTTTCTCTAATCGTTAATAATAGTCCGTTTTGTTCCAAGATCGTGAATCGACTTATCGATGATGTGGGATCATCGCGTATGAAAAATGGGGAGGGAAAAATCGTCGCAAACAATACGGAGCTGTAACAGCGAAGTTTCACAGTGGATTATAATGCTGAATATCAATGACAAAGATTATAAATATAGGCGCGTTATATAATGTTGCGCGTTACGGTATATAATATCGAATTTTTCGTGACAAAAATGATGGCGGATCGTATAATGTCCTGTTTCGAAATGTCTCTTCAAGATACGTAGATGTTCGATGACATAGATTTCAAGACCTCGTGGTTACTTTCGTGTTTCGTGAGCTCGAAATTTGACAAGTCAACGTGTTTCCAAGTATTTCTAAACCTGGAAATTTAACTCAAAGTTGTAGAGGGCGAAATAAGAAATTTAGATTTTTTTACCTTCTATATAAGTGGTACTTGTACACTGGAAAAAAAATCTTGTTATACATTAACAAAAATTCTGTTCGAAAATGGAAACAAAATTACTGACTGAATTTATACCAGAATTCCTTTTAACGCAACAAATATCTTGTTTGCACAAGCAACTGATTTATTATGCAAACCAGATGCTTTTTGCATTAAAAGGACTTCTGGTAGAGATTCAGCCAGTAATTCTGTTTCCATTTATTTTCGAACAGAATTTTTGTGAATGCAACCAATTTTTTCCACTGCAGGATTCGAAAGCTTCAAACGAGTTTATAGCATGGATAAGAAACCAATTCTCCTGGAAGAGGATCCCGGATTAGTAAAACGATAAACTGATGCAAATGAAGTGAATAGAACGAGAATGGGACGAATCAAGTTTCTATCAAGTTACTGTGTACAGTGAAGACAATGACGAGAGACGATATTAACATGAGTATAACAACAGTGCGTTTACGCTGCGTCTTATGTGGGTTCTTCCAATGCTTTCAAAATGGAGAGAAAGAGAAAGAGAGATAGAGAAAGTGAGGAAAGAGAAAGAGAGAGAGAGAGAGAAAGAGGAAAAGAGGGCTCGTTAAAAACAAGGATTCCTTAATATGGTCGCTAGGTCACCCTATTTAGATTAATAGTTAATAATTTTACTTTAATTAGTTTTGTTGGTCATTTTATGTAACAGTTAGATGGCGACAGCCCGCTAGGTATAATTATATATTTTGGTATAAGATTTTTCCGTAAAGTGTCTCTCTGAGAGTTAAAACTCTACCGTTATATCATCGCCGTGTATATGACGATGTAATTTGTAATAATCATAACAATAACAATTAGAAACGAATATAGATATAGTAATAACCGTAATGCTCATATAAATTCGCCCCGAGGCTGCGCTCGCGTGCGTTTAACTTTTTTTTTTTTTGCTACTTTTCGTCTCGTTTATTTCTTTTTTTTTATTTAGTTTAATTTTGTTGGTCTAATTGCGTGTAAAGAGTTAAATCGATCACCGCTCTTCCGGATCTTCGACACCTCCTGTCTTCTATGTGAAGTATCGCATCGCGATTGGCTCTTAATATATAGTGTATAATCCATATCGCGCCGGAAATTATCGATCATTTTTAGTTCCGGTTTGATTAACGAACCATCGTGATTATCCCGTCAAAAGAAGGAAGGAATCGTTTATGTTTTTTCACCGCTTCTCTTTGTTTTTTTTCTTTTGCGCAGTGCACACTAAACTTAATATCCGAAAACTCGATAGTTAAAAATTAAGGAGTCGAAAGTACTTTTTGAAAGTGTCGAGATTGAAGATTTTGAGAATGTAGAAACCCCAGTATCCTACGTATTGTAAGAATCCCAAGTTTAAAGAACCGCGAATTCTGTATGTTTTCTTCTTTTTTTTCTTTTCTTTTTTTTTTGGGAAAGTAGTTTTACAAGTTTTCCTAAGATGAAGATTCTGCTCTCTTCTCATTCTTGAACCACAATTTCGCAGATTGCTCAAACTTACATTGATCTAAAGTTTGAATCATTCAAATTTTTTTCATCAGTTTAATCTAATATGATAAATATTCAAGATTTCAACATCTCGGAATTTCTCTAAATAGATAAATAAGATGAACGAAGACCTCGTATAAGATATATTTCGTCAAGTCTGCGTCAAATTTTATTTCAAGTGTATAGTATGGATTTTATAAGTCAACCTTTCCTGTTCTACAATTAAAGAAACAATTATAAAATTTCTATAGAATATCCCAAATAATTCTAACGCGTTAATCTTTAACAATTCTTAAAATATCAATATATATGATTAGCTTTTTAGATTTATATCTAATATAATTAATTAAATAACAAAATATTAAATTCTTTAGTTACTGAAATATTAATATAAAGTTCATTGCAAATTTATTAATATACTTACATTGAAATTCAACGCAGAGAGAAAGAGAGAAAGAGAGAGAGAAAGAGAGAGAGAGAGGAAAAACTTTATGTAATCTCCACGTATATCCAATGACACGAAATCAATTTGTCAACTTTCATCGTATTTGTGTGTGTGCATAATCTATATATTTATATATAGTTCGCGAGCAAAACGCACTTTTTCTCGTTTATAGATTTTTTCTCCCCTTCATCCTGATGTCATGTATAACTTCACTACGTCGAAGAGTTCGGTAATCATCTACGTACTTCATTTATTCCTCTTTTTTTTCCTATTACGTACTAACAATATTATCGAATCAGTGTCTATATCACCTAAGCATCCGATATTGAGACTGTTTTAATTTTACGTTTTTTTTTTTTATACTTGGCGTGGTCTTCCTGGCACCATATAATGCACTTTTAAGAAATCTATATAAAAATATCGTAGAGTTGTGTGTCGTGTCCAGTGCGTTGAGTCACGAGCGAAAGAAGGATGCTCCTTAAATAGGAAAAAAGGCGAGAAAATGAGGAAATTGGAAGGAAATAGCGGAACAATCCGAGGGAAACTGATTAGACTGAAAAAAAATGGAAAAGAAAAGCAAAGCTGGTTATTACTCGACTAAAAACTTCATTCAGATAAAGAGACTGACTAACTAAATCAAAGAATTATCTTCACGTACACGAGATAGTCTTCCTATTCGAATAAAAGTTTATTCTGCGATAAAGTAGAGGATTTTTCTAAACTCAAAGTATCGATCGACACGAGAAAGCTTTTGAGGGAATAATGCTGCATTTTTCAAATAAATTGTTTGCTATTTTTTTATAAACTATGTCACCTACATAAAAGATAAACAGAAACTGCGTTGTAAAAGTAAGCAGATGAATGGTGAAAGTTTATTGTAATATTTTTTGTGAAAAAAGAACCGCTTTGAATCCTTTCATTATATTGTAACCACGTGTAACTGTCTTTATTAACGGATTGCTATCAAAAAATATACTTATGAGAGGATGTAAAATATTTTTAAAAAATTTCTCGTAATGAAACGCACAAATTTGTTCATAGCAGTACTTTTTATTTTTCTCTCTCGATAAGGGTACCACTTTTACCGCTGAGTGAATTTCCAATTTACTAAAAGATAGCAAAGTATTCCAATCATCGAACAGTTTTACTTATCTCTTTTAGTCCTTAGTCGACTCTCTTATCTAGATGAAAAATCTGCCCAACTGGGAAAAAGAAAGGAGAGCAAGAAGAAAGATAAAAAAAAAAAAAAAAAAAAAATCGGATAAGGTGAGAAAAAGAGAGGGAAAGAGAGAGAGGGATAGTATGAGAACGTTGTGAAAATTGTGTCTGTTTTGGTCCCGTTTCGCATTGCGATTAGCCGCGAAACTACGCTTTCGAAATGAAACGATGACGGACAAGACAAACCAGGTCCCAGCTTTATCCGCGTTAGTGAGCTTTTTCCGCGTGAGCTTTTCCTTGTGAACGGTCGAGGATAAAGGCGGCTCGACCGAACCTTATCCCTTTCGTGAAATTAGTTCGCAGCGTTTAACAAACTCAATTAAACAACCTTAACAAGTAAAATATTTAAAAAATATATAAGATATATATATATATATATATATATATAACAAAGTATGGAAAAATAAAATTATTCTCTTTCATAAATATTTCTCAAAAATAGTCAAACAGCTCAAAGATTTAATTTCGACAAATAAATTCCATTTCAAATAATAAGTTTATTTAAAACTGAAGAAACCAGAAGCGCACAAACACGTTTCGTCTCTGATTTATTATTAAGGGATGAGAGTCGTTTGAACTCGCCTCGTAGAGCCTCAAGTAGAATCTCGACCTGTGCGAGCACAGATTGCCTTGGCAAACCTATACATCGCGTCGAGATCTGTGTACTTGCGTTATTTTATGTGTGAACATCTTCGGGACTAATAACGCGTCGGAAAGAATAGCGTTGCGTTATATGGCTGCAAATTACAGCAAAAACGTCACACCGTGCTCCGGAAGAAGAGCCGAACCTCGATCAATCCAAGATTCTTCCAAGATCCGAAGAATCTGAACTGTCATCCATCTCACAACCGATTGGACAATCGTAAAATTCGCATTCGGCTCTTCCCGGGACACTCTGTATCTTTGGCGCATCAGGCTTTTCTTCGTTCATCATCCCTTCTTCGCCGAATAACACCAAGAACTAAATATACTAAACGCTAATTTTTGGATAAGAGAAAAAAAACCTGCAAAAAAGCAATTAATAGATAAAAGAGCGATAATTACAACCCCTATATATCGTTCTTTGAGCAATAAATTACTTTTCCTGTATCGATCGTAAATTAACGTAGGAGCGTTTAAAATTACAGGCACGCATGAACGAAAAAAAGCGAACGCCTCGGGAACGGAAAGTCGTTGGCAAATAATTACTTTCCCATTGTCTGGTCGATTCGTTTAATTAAGCCTACCCCTCTACCTTCGCGCGGTCGTGGTTCCATTATAAAAAATCCTCATCCCCTTCCCACCCCTTCCCTCTACCTTTCAGTGGAAACGTAGCCGCTTGCTTTTTTTTTGTACCCGTGCGCCATAGAGAGTACAAGAGTATTACACCTAACAATATAATATCCTACGTAACCTACGGACGTTAAAGCGGATAAGATCACTTTGCATTCTCTCTCTACTCGTTATTTCTTGGACACCCGTCGGGTTCGCGCCGGCCCTTAAAGCGCGTTTTTCATGCGCGCCGTTAAATAGGGGAAAAAAAAAAGAATTGTTTCGTCGATTCAACGCTGTTAATTTAATATCTCGCAAGTGTATATAGGCCGGGAAAGATATACGGTTAGGTGTATGCGGAAAAATAATAGAGAGGAGGAATGTGTATACGCACGCGAAAAATATTCCACAGTTTCACGAATTATAAAGTACCAGAGTACAATCGCGTAAATCTAGCGTAAAATTGTGATCCCGAGTCCTTGATATCCGAAAGTGTGCGGCAAACAGCCGTAACTATGATAATAGATTTTCCTCAAACGAGCGGAACGCGAAAGAATGTCAGTTCCCAGTTTTGCTCAGAACATATTAGAAACTGTTCACTTTTTATAGCCCCCTCGTCGTTCGAATAATGCACATACGAATGGTTCATTATACGTATAGACCATTTTATACTTTACCTCGGGCATCTCTCTCTCGAGATCAGCGCCAGATCCTATAGGACTTTGTAGGGCGACGTATGAGCTATGAATATAATACAATGGCCCTTTTGTGAAGGCGCTTCCGCCCCTTTGGAGAGGGAAAAGGGACAGTTTACCTTTAACCGCGCGCGAAAGGCTTTAAGTGCCAGCTTGGTTTACCTCCGGGCTAGTCCTTGTCCGCACACGCTTCCTGTACACACACGTCATGCCTGTACGCTCTCTCTCTTCGCAAGAGTATACAGAGATACAAGGTGGAGAGTATTCTGTATAGATGCGTGTGTATGTGTGTGTGTGTGTATGTCGAGAATGTACATTTAATTATTAAGAAAACAGTTATTCAGGCACGCAAGTTGGGCAGGGGAGCAGCGCGCAGCCAGTGGAAGAAGCCGCGCGTACCTTGAGAGTTCATCTCCTCCACTTTGATCGATCCTTTACTGCGAGTATAGAGTGTAATTTGTTGATTTTTCATTCTCTCGGTCGCGCTCGACTGTATCCGTCTTGTACAAAAAAAAAGAGAGAAAAAAATCCGATCCCTTTTAATTGCGTACTTGTGTCAAAATTGACTGACTAGCTAAGAATTGTGAGGATTGGAAGGGATCGAGCAGAGATTGACGAAAGTAGGCGATTAAATGGATGCAGAGAAAGTCGATGATTCCTTTGAGGAATTTGTTGAAGGCAAAAAGAGATAAAACAGCGTTTCGACCAGTCGTCACGTCCACGGTTTCTTAATTCAATCGCTTCATTCCAAGTGTAACTCCTCGAGGAGAGACCCGAAGGTGCGCGCGGGACGCAAAGAAGGCCCACCCTTAGACGAGTTTCGCGCGAAAAACAGACGGCCGTGGGTTTCTGTCAATCTATAATAACCGCTCTCGCTTAGAACAGTGTCCCTTTGCAAATGGCGAACTCAAAGAATTGTTTTTCAGCGAATCGAAGGAAACATCATCGCGATACAGACTGTATCTTATTAGGACACACCGGTCTAGACGGGAACCCTCTCGTATTGGTTTGTGCGAACCTCCGGCCGATCTATTGAATTTCTCCCGGCAGTACTATTGTAATACGTGTGATCGCGGCGATCTGCAAATTCCGCGGAAACCGACGTCTCTCTCGGGGCCTCTTAGTACGAGTGCTGCGGCTGCAGAGACGAGACTCAGCTGTGCGCCGACGTGTCCGAGCCTTGGCTGTTGCCTAACCCGCCCATGCCGGCCTGGGAGGTGAGTCTGGTAGCCGACTGCGAGGTCGTCGTGGTGACCGTGGCGGAGTGAGTGAGGCCGTGATGCCTACCGGTCTCCGGCACCAGGTGCGGCGTCCGGCTGGATACGGGCGGTAAGACCGGACTGACCGGCCACGGATGCAGGGACATGGTGCTGGGCGCGCTGGGCACGCTACGCGAGTGCGGCAGGAGAGGGGAGTTGGAGAGGCTGGCGAGAGGGTGGTGTGCGGCGACGGACGAACTGCCACCACCGGAAACGCCCAGGCTGGTGCCCGACGAGATGGTCCCACCTCCGCCGCCGCCGGAAGCCGCCATGGCTACCGCGGTGTCCGGATGTAGGAAATTACGTCGCTGCTCCATCCGTTCCGCGTGCTGGGCCAGGCACCGAGTCAGCTCTTCCGGCAGCATCTCCAGCTGACCCTGCAACGAGGTCAGCTTCTCCTCTAGGCCGACCATACGGTCCTCCAGACCCACTAGACGCTCTTCCACCGAGTCCTGCCGCGTACTCATGTCCGAGACGATCTCGTACACGGTGTTTTGCGTCTGTCGAGACCAAGATTAGACATTATAGTTTGCGATGAGGTTGGGAAAAAATACGATACAACTATAACGCGAATGAATGGGAACCAGTCCGTAATAGCACACCCCGTATTCGAAAGACATTCAGAGGATACCCAGCCTTAAGCAACATCACGTCTAAAAACGGGACATAAGACGTCTTGAAGATATCTCATTAGCGTCTTAAGACATATTTTAATATGATGTCTAAAATACATCTTAATGATTCCTTTAAGACGTATCTTATGTCCCAATTTTAGACGTTTTGTTGTCTAGGAGAAGCTATTCAGAAGACATTCGAATAACCTCAGGATATTCTCTGAACGTCTTTGGGATATGTGTGCTGTTAGGAGTATTAATTTTACAAAATTAAATCTCGGGCAAGAATATATTATTTGGAAAAACTGCTTTATGTAAAAGAGCCTTCGAGAACTAATCCTCTTCAAAGCTCCCGGTCAAAGCTCCATTCGCTGTTGCAATATTCCATCAGGCTTTGCAAGCGGAAAAGCGGTTTCTCTCGTTAGCGCTGATGAATCCTTACCTTGGCCATGTCCGTTATAGTGTTGGCGTTGTCCATCAATTTGCGCTGATCCATTTTCACCTTTCTGAGTCTGAAATGTCGAGGTAGTTGCGAGATAGAGTTATGCGATTACGTATATACAGCCTACATCGTGTAGAGCCCGCTCTACCGCGCTATTTCTGTGATCGCGACCGAGAGTGCGGAATATCGACTTACGCATATATAGCTAGGAGGAATTTCCGCTGATGGGTCCGCACGCGTCCAGGATTGACGCGCTTCACCAAACGGGTGTGCTTGTAGATCAGCCACGTTTCCCGCAACACGTTCGCCGCGGCGTTCTTCAGCTGTAACAGAGTCGCGCTTATTGTTAGATGATCTTTTAATTATCTAGATAATAAAGATTTTTAAATCATCTAGATACAAGATAAAATTATATGGCGATTCACCTAGATAACTATTATTTTAAAACCCCTTATGTAAACACGGTTATGAGAAATTGTAAATTATAAAAGGGATATATAAAATATATTCATACTTTTATATTTTTATCGCTTATTGCTCAAGTTCTACTAATTAAGTATCTTCATGTGCTTTGACTCTAAACCGAATTATCTGAACATTATTCTAAATAATTTCGTAAAGATGACATTTTTTTAAGATTTGCAGATTTATAGATAATAATACATATTTTCAATGTCTATATAAAAATAAGATGACGTCAAATTTTATCTAGATCATCTATACAATTTTAGATGGCAAACACTGCATGTCATGTCAGCCCATTCAGCATCAGCTGACTCTCGTCAGCGACGAGATCGTTGATACTTTGTCAAAAATCTCTTTTTCTCTCTTTTTTTTGAAAATGTTCAAAATTTTCGTTTCGGACAGCGCCGATGAAAAGATCGTATCTTGGGGATTACAGTTTTGTTTTCATAAGAAGTAATATTGGCAACACGCCATATAGTTCATAAATTTTTAATTGAAAACAACCACGCGCTGCGAAAATTATTATTCAAAGTATATATTCGCCAAGTAAACATTATACTGCGCCATTAATCGCGTAACTCGTTAGCTATGACAGTATTCACGATGTCACGGTTAATTAACCCTTTCAGGACCGCGGGGATAATTTGTCTCGAAGAATGATTAACGATCCGAGAATATATATTTTCGGATTAAAATATTGCGTTTTATATAAACCTCATTTTAATGAGAAAACTTTTTAAAAAATATTATGCAATTTTTTTTTTGACATTTACAATTTTCTCTCTCTTTCTCTCGGAAAAATGTACACTCGCTCCAAACTATATATGCGTTGAGAAAAAATCGAGGATTTGACATTTGTTTGTTACCGCTGATGAAATCAGATCGATTCAGCTTATGTAATGACGTGAAAAAAAAAAGAGATATGCATCCGAGGGTTAAAGCGACGTAAAAAGACTCGTCGATACGGTTATGTGTATAGCTCTACGTTACCACTCCTTGATATTTGCAAGGTTTATAAATAACGCTGGCTAATAATTATTTCAGTAGCCGTATGGTTGAAGGTTTCGATCCAGAAGTGGAGAGAAGCGACCGTATACTTATGCAACTTATGCTCACATGCGACAAATTTAAATTACGCTAGGCATATATTGTACATCTCAATATCTGTAATTAACGATTTTTTTTTTTAATTTTTACAAAGGCACGAGGAGAAATATACTTTCAAACTATCTCGTAATTTAATAATGTCAAAGAAAGCACGATGGAATATATATATTAAAATATGCTTGTATTTTCACGAAAAGGAAGTTGCGAATCGCTGCATATGACTTGCGACACGAGCGATCGATTATATCATGATTTGCAACGAGTCGCCAATGGTTTCTTCGCGAAAGAAAGAAAAGTGGATAGAGAAGCCCCGGTCTTCATATTATTATTTTTAATTCCAAGTAATTGATATCTCTCTAAATTTGTCGAATCTAAAAAAACCTCGACGAGTTTCTTAATTTTCTCGCGCCGTTGTATACTTTTCTTTAACTTTTACATCTTAATAATAAGGCTTTCAAACGCAAGTACATTTTCTGAAACTTTTAATTCTCTGCCTCGGCAGTGTCCCCGAAACTTATTTCTGAACTTGGAATTTAAAATTAACGAAACGTGGCGACAAATTATGGCATCCACTCTTGTTACAAAGTGTTCCAGATACGTCAAAATTCTTTGTGCAATAACTGGAAAGTACTTACAAGTTTTTTTTAGCAAGCCTTTTATCATCGACTTTACGATTTACTCGCCGAGTTGCCTTTTATTTCCTTGAAAGTTTGTCGAGATCGAATCGATCGGACGTCACATTCCTTTCATGATGACAATGATACATTAACTGACTTCCTCGTCTCAAGTCTCGACCTATCATCCAGATAGACGATACTATCTACTTTTGACAGGAGCGCTTTCTCTTATCCTCGTGTGTTTGCACTCGTGTCCTTGAACTTCGACGCAGACTCTCGGCTTCAGAATCTTCGCGTTTGATGCTCAAGATGTTTACAAATTTATATTGAGGATTTTTTATAATAATTTTTAGATTTTATTTTTTGTTTAAATTTGTAAGAGAAAAAAAATTCTGTTTCGAGTTCTTACGGCTCTCCTTTTCTTTAATCCGCAGTCTCGAATCTCAAGTATCGCGATGTCAAAGTTAAGAATTCCGATTGGTAACGAAGGGAAGCCTGTCTTGTCTAAAGGTCAAAGCGACTTCGCCGACCGACTTCATGCAGCTCTCTGCTTATTTCCGAGGCAAAGCCTTGCTCAGTGGGATACTTTCTTATTATGTGGTTCAACCGGAAAATTACGTCACGATATACCTAACCTGAAGAGTGATATATCCATCGTGCTTTCATTACGTGCTTCATTCGCTTTCCCGATTCTTCGATGAGATAGCCCTGGCCTTAGACGAATGTATTTGTGGTCTTGAAAGAAGATCTGTCTTAAAACCGCGTTCTCTCCGATTCTATCTTTAAGAAACTTTACTTTTGAATCTTTCAAACGTATCATCCTTCGATATTTCCATCGCGGTTTATAGATATTGTAACGGAAAGAGGAACAAGTGTCGAGAGAATCTCGTCGAGTTTAAGAAAATCTACTTTTGAATCTTTTCGAGGTTCTGCAAATTACAAATTTTATAATTTCTCTGTCTGATTTTTTATTTAAAATAACACAAGGATACTTATCGCGAATGCGTATTCGAAGAATAGCGTTCGAGAAAATTCAACGTAGCATCTTCTTTTGCATAAACTTTGATACACACATAGACAGCTCGTTTCACTTTAGAAACTTATTATTTGCTATGCATATCATTAAAAGTTGCTATCCTCTTTAATTCAGAAACTTGCGCAAACCAAACGTGCGATATATAGCGTAGCATAGTTGATTGTTAAACAACGATTCCGATATTCACTAAAATTTTCAGTTTAATCCTTTGCGTTATTCAAGTGCTTATTTGAACAAAACAAAATCCTTTTATCACGTTATAAAAATTCTATTCAATCTTTCTTATTTTAGAGATTTTTTTATCTAGTTTACGACTAAAATATTATATAAAAAAAATTATCGATAAACAAAAAGCTTGAAACACATCTCTCGCTACTTAAGCCACTTTACAAGTTCAATGAATGTTTAAGCAAAAAAAGTTTCAATTGCGAAGGAGTTAGCTTGTAGCTCACAGTAAATGTCTATCTCTTGATTGTCGATCGATATAAAAGCAGTGTAGACTATTATGAGCTATTATAAATTGGTATAGACTAAAGGTTTTACTGTTCTCTCTATGAGAATCGAACATCTTCTCTATAGAAACCGAAAATATAACCCTTTAATATAATTTATAATCCATGATGTTCGATTAATGGATTCCTGTCTATGCATTTTGCATAATAGTTTTCGCTATTAATTTAAAATTTACGTCACTAGACCGGAATAGCACAGCAAGAACGTTTTGCTCTCTACGACATAGTATAAAAAATTCTCCGCCATATTAAAATACTACGTAAAGGTTACCATTAACGTAAAGGCCTTGGAATTCTATGGATAAAGTGATATGTTACAGTGGTCTTACCCTTTTGGTCAATTGCGTGTCCATCATGAAGTTATGCACGTGTTTCTCCGCCCGCGTAAGTTCGAGCTTCCTGGAGACGACTGCCACCAGCAAAGCCGTGCATCCGGCGCCCTAAAAAATTCAAAGAAAAATATGTTCTTCCTTTCTCGCATCTCGTTTTCGAGAATTTACATCCAGGCCACTAAATTTTTATCCAAACTTTAGTTTAGGATACTTTAGTTTCGAATTTTTTTCCTTCTCCTTTTTCTTTCTTTTCTTTTCCCCTTATTACTATTTCATTATAGATAGTATTTATAGATATGTTATAGATTTTATTTTGGTTGAATTTAAGAGCTTCATTCTATCTCCATTATTTTGCAAACTCAATAGAAATTATAGCTAACTAAGTATTCTCTTTTGTATTTGGGCTATTTCAATACTGTGATACTAGGTACTACTAATATGATCAAGGTCTGCTTTTGCGCCAAAAAAAAAAAATCTAATATGATTTCTGTCTCAGAATAATACTATTAATTTTTTTAAGTAACTTCTCATTCTCATTAATTTAATTGTTTCGTTGGAAAATGGGATGTTTCTCTACACGAGATTTCCGTGAACAGCCAGAATCCCAGAGCCAGTAATTCCACATAATTTACATGATGCAACCAGCTTGCGTTAATGCGCACGGGAGAAGGGAAATTTTACAAATGAAAGGGAGCGAAGAGGATAGGTGGAGACTTTAGAAATGTATTGTAGCGACTCGTGCTCGGAACTGGACTTCCGGCAACAAGCATCGGTGCTCGCGCGCGGCGGAAGTTTGGCGAGAAATTGGCTAGCATCTCTGGAAGCAGCCGCGCGTTGGTTGCCAGCTCTCTCGGAGGATAGTTACGAATTAACGGGAGTTAGGGATTAACTCGTGCGAGCGAGACACCGAACGGAAGGAAGGTTGCATATAACAATGAGGAACGACTTCCCACATTCCCGTGGGAGAGAACGAACGTGGCGTTTATTGTGTCCTCCGTCGCCTTTAATTACACAGACAGACGGTCCCGTTACCGTGTTAAGAGACCCGACGGAACGATGAAGGGGCTATGCAAATCAGGACGAGCGATTTGTCACAATGATCGAATCGCGCGATCGATCGCTTATATTACGGTCTGTAATAAAGCCCCTGGTTTAACGCGAGAGTTACATCGAATTTACATGCCTGCGGAGTTTCGCGAGTCTCGATATACTAGGTGTATTGAACAGGCGTGGAGTGTCTACTATGTAACATAAGTGGTAGTCGTATGGGCAAACCTCAGGCTGTATTTGTATTCCTCTAATAAAAAAAAGTACTAGGTGTATCTAAATGGTCTGTACAAACTTTCGGGATATGTTCCAGAGACGAAAACGAGCAGAAATAAAAGTCTTATAAACATGGGGTCAAAAACGCTTCTTTTTAGAGTTATAACGGTTTGAAGCTTTCTTGCGGTATAGAAGAAATTATCACGTTAAATCGTATAGGAGTTGCAAACTGTATTTATTTATTTCTACGGATATAATAAGACAGTACACTTGCTCAAAATGGCCTCCGTTATAGATTCCAAGAAAGTCTAATAATAAATAATTCTATAAACAAGCGTTTTCGACCCCATGTTTACATGACATTTTCTGCTTGTTCTGGTCTCTGGAACTTATTCCCAAAGTTTCTACAGATTCAGATGCACCCTGTATACATAAATGCCAGTGTGGCCCCGTAATTCGCGGTAACCTAACCTCGGCCTCGGCAAGGAATTAACGACCGTGACGACTGGTGATGCATGTAACGCGGTGTCTGTAACCGATGTGTTTGGGGACCGGGATAATTGTCCGGCGTAATTGCACGTCCGGAATTAAAGGATCCTTATTTTTCCAAAGCCATTTTCCCTCTCAAGGAGTTTCATCGCGCGCATCTGGTTGGAGACACGTGTCTCACACTGATCGCTCGCGATCGGAAAGGATTTGGTGCCGGGTTACGTTCTGTCCTTACCATCATTCCGGTGGAGACGGCTATACCTCGACCGCAGTATGTGTTGGGCACAATGTCGCCGAAGCCGACGCTCAGGAAAGTGATGGCGATGAGCCACATGGCGTTGAGGAGATTTGCGTGTTCCTCGTCGTGGAACCTGTCGTAGCAAAGCGACAAGCGCATTATTTCAACGACGAGCGCAACGACAATACATTTTGCTACTTTCAAGCCCCACAATCCCACGGATCAGACATTTTTATAATGATTGCATTAATAATAAGTGAATAATACATTGACGCAAATCAAAAAATAGTTCGATATTTAAATTTCGAAAAACTTTGAAATCATTTTAGACTACAATACCCAAGACTCAAAATACAAAGCTGTAATTTAGAAAACAAGGACCTATTTAGAATTCTACTCAAAATCTAGAGAATTATATATATATTATTAAATTTTTCCATTGTAGTTTAATTTTCTTGATATCTTTCGGAGAGGTATAATTTCTAAAAATCAAATTTGTTGGTCCTTGTTTAATAGGGGTCCGCTATTCATCTTATCATATCCAGCATTCAATCTTTTATCCGGGATAAGCATTAGGGCAACTACGGCAAGTTGGGGCATGAATGATAGCGTTATTATGCCCCCCGTGAGATTCATTATCGAACACACGAGGAAGATGCGGGTGTCGTAATCTACGTCGTAAAGTGGTTTTAACGACCGTATTACACAGTTTGGTCGACGTTACACAATTTCGTCTTCGTCCGCATTTTTTTAGAGTTCTTCGATATCTGCGACTCAGAATCGGAATCATTCAAAGTAAATAAAATTGAGGAAGATAAAAATATCAAGGATAAATCAAAGTAAAGTTCTAAATAATGAGACGATAAATGCATAATGTGACCCCTCTACTTTAATTTTTTTGTTATTCACTTTCTATAAAATTGGTTGTTTGCGTTTTGACGTGACGGACAATTCGCCCTATAAAAATCCCATGAATCCAACAAATTATTCTGATAGCAACATTGATTGCATAAATGATTGTCGGCCGTGTACCGTGAAAATCGCGTTACCGTCGTGGAAATTCGCGCTGTCACATATATATATATATATATATATATATATATATATATATATATATATAGTATGCGCGGACGCATACTGAATAAAATACCATTCGGATTTCCCGACAATTTCCGACTTCATAATCCGAGCGTGAAAACTGGCCGCAGGGCCCGCGCTCGTTTACGGCAAATACGAGAGAACAAAATTATCAAATTCTTTTAATTTTCAATGCAAATATAGAGCCGCAAATTCAATAATTTCATTAACCATAGTTGATTTACATTAGCGAAGTCATCGCGTTATCATAATTTTGTAAAATCAATTGAAAAGAAAATTTATACAAACGCACGTGTATATGTAACAATTTTTATCAAATTGATGTAAAAAGATTTTTAACAGCAAAAAGATATTTAACAGAGTAAATAAAGTTAATTACAATATTTTATATATATATAAGCTGCGATAAAGATTTACGAGAACATAATTTATAATTATATATAATTGATAGAATTGTGATATATTTTAAATATTTATTCAATTTATTAACGCAACAATGCTAACAATAAAAGAGAAGTTTAAATAAATTGGTTCGATGCAACCACTTGTTGGGAAAATTTTACCATCGTATAAACATCAATATTCCACGCGCGTGCACTATTTATTTAAAATAACCGGATCATCAGAGTAAGTATCGAATGATTGAAATTTCTTTCATAAATATCGTTCGCCAAACGGAATTTTCCACATTGATATCGACATATCTGCGATGTACTTGCGTATTCATCCAGTGTCAATGGAAACAGTGTCGGGAAGTTGAATGTTCCCATACCATTATCGGGATACTATTATCATAATCGACTATCGGAAAAGGTGGAACGCGATAAATCAAATGCAAAAGCGCACACGTTTTCAATGATCGACCCCCTCAGGCGTATGAAACAATGAAATAGTTTCGATCGCGAGTTCACCATCGAATCGTTCGAAGGACTTTCCGTCCAAATGTCGGACAGGTGGAGAGATCAAGCATTAGCCGGAGTGATAAATATTTAAGCTTGTGGATGGGCGAAGAGAGGATCCCGTCCATTAAGGAAGCACCATTTTATTGAGGCGACGAGGATAGGAAAGTCTCCTTTTCCTCGCTTCTAGCACCTGACGGGATCTTCGGGAGCGACCGTCCCGATATTGCCTGGGCAGAGATTGATTATTCCTGAAATCGCGGCGCGGCTATATTTACGGGGAGAATTTAATTATCAGCCGGTCTCTCTCCAGGAATCACTAAATTCCAACGGCGATCGTCGACGACCGACCCTAATCGAGATTCTGTCTTCCCGCTTCCTTCCTCTTTCCCGCAAGTGTACCGAGATTTATGATTACGTCGCGGCATCTCTCGCGATAGATGGTCGCGCCATTAGGTCATAGATCAATCATCGTACGCAAATGAGTCCACTCGGTCGTACACGATTCCAAAATGCATTGTCACTGTTTCTCCTGTTCTTGTTGATTAATGGATCGTGTGAATAATATGGAACAACTACTGTTACTTTACTAGTGGAGCGAAATGTAACAAGAAGATAAAAAACATTGTTTCCCAAACCGGAGAAGAAATCAACAAACTAGAAGAAAAAACGGAGAACGAAGGAAAAGGCTGATTACTTTAATAGATGACTCACCTTTCGCACTGTCGCAACGTCCACGAGGCGATGATCCACAGGGAGACCATGAAGACCAGGAGCACCGTACCGGGGCAAATGGTCATCAGGGTCTTGAGGACGAACCTGGTGTTAAAGTTGATGCGATTCAAGGCCCCTATGCTACGCGACGACGCGTCCGTAAAGAGCTTCGAGTGCAGCAGCATCACACGACAGATGAGGTAGAGCCTGAGGAACATGGGCAACGAGAGGGTGACGTCATACGGCACCCACTTGGAACCGATGTCGCCGTTCTTGTTTGCCAGCTTGGTCGTCCACAGGAAGTAGTACTCGCCCGGTATCGGGTGAATCGCGCAGATCGCCAGCTCCACCGAGATCTGCGCGATCCGCTGCCAGGTCATCGCGATCCGCCAGTCGTCCGCGCAGTTATCGATCATGAACAACTGTCGACAGACAAATTTGACAGGTCATATATACACGAGTGTATGCAAAATCCTCTCCCTCGACTTCCTTAAGTGGGGATGCTGCTGTTGTTCTGTTTTACCGACTTTAAGTTAGGTTAGGTTCACTTTTTATTGAATATACATATATAATTAATTCAAGTACGAATCTTTTGATACAGGCTTTTAATCTCATTTTTATTACTTTTGTATTATTCTTTCATGTCATCTCTATTGAAAGCGCCTTATTTTGTGCACAAATAAACTGCAGAACTTTTGTATTAAATAAGTATTGTTATAAGCTGATGCAAGAGGCCGATAAAAAAACTAATTTTTTAAACTTTTATTGGTTTTTTATACGAAATTATAGCGCTCCTCGTTCATTTTATTATCAGTACTTTAATTGTGAAGAAGGATTTTTCAATCTGTATAGTCAATAAAAAGAAAAACTCTTGAACTCAAAGTCGGCGAAACAGTCATGGTCAGCATCCTCTTAAGGAAATCTCGGCACCAGCAGAGATTTCTGTTCATGGGCGTCCGCAGGATTTTTTCCAGAATTAATAAATTTTTATTCTTTCCTAATTTTTAAATTTTATTTTTTTAAATTATTAATAAGAGATAGGCATCAACTAAATGTGGAAAACATTTTAAGATGTGAAGTATTTTTATTTTATTATACGTATAAAATAATTGGAAGAGGGATTATTTTTTGTTATTTTCATTTTTTTTATATCAAATATATGCAAATAAATTCCAGTGTTTATTTAAAAGGAAAGTAATTTTTTACTGATTTTAAATGTCCCCCTGGGGACGTCCATGCTTGAATATCGCGTACAATTATTCTTCCAATAATATTTGGATAATATATAACTGATTACTTCAATTATATGATAATCTAGAAATTTGAAGATGTATGTTTTCGAGATAAAGAATAAAATGTAATTAAAATTTTTAATTTTGAGATTCTCTTATCGAGACGGGTTTTTAGTAATAAAATATGACGGGAATTAATATGCACGATGACAATAATTATCAATCATTAGGATCTTCATTCGTCGAAAATTGGATATTATTGAAAAATCATATCGCACGAATGCCGAGCGAATGTAAACAACCGAATGAATTAATTATACCGTTGCATTATCGGTGTGCAAAAAATGGGCGCCCAGCGTTCAAAGCAATTTTTGCGAATACATTTACCAATATATCGATTCGCGCGAGATTACCAATCGAGAGAGACCCAAATGAGCCCGCGTATTCCGATATGAAAGCTCGCTCTTTGAGAGCCTCGTTCGATTAATATGAATTCCAACCGCCTTGTCTGCCTCTCTCTCTCTCTCTCTCTCTCTCTCTCTCGTAAACTTGATTAAAACGCTGCAACATGTAAGCCGTTGTTTATCACCGTCTATCTATGTATCTCTTTCTCTCTCTCTCTTGCCATGTAGCTGTAACCGTACACATGCCGCTATTCCGGCAACAAATCATCCTTAACTCGATAACGATCCTGCCAGATCTAAACAGCTCGTGCTTAAAGGCTATCCCATATACCACGTGTTACACGAGATACAATATCATGCGATTTGTCTAGTATAGACACCGCAGATACTTCACGTCCCGAGATCTTCTCGCGGATCGCAGATTTTTATCATCCATTTTACTTACTTTTTTTCTCAATTCTCTCAAATTTCACTCGCGAGTTTTTAATTCGCAAAACCTTGATGCAATAAATTTAATATTCTCCTATTAGTATCGAAAAGAATTTTACAATTATTTAGTGCTCGATTGATTTCGACAACAAATCATTCCCTCAAATATTCCGACGGATTTTCACTCGCGAGATCTTTTAATTCGCGAAACCTTGGTGCAATAAATTTAATATTCTTATTAGTATCAAAAATAATTTTACAATTATTTGGTGCTCGATTGATTTCGGCAACAAATCATCCTTCTCTCAAACATTCCGACGAATTTTCATTCGCAAAACCTTGGTGCAATAAATTTAATATTCTTATTAGTATCGAAAATAATGTTGCAGTTCTCGATTTATTAATTCGTTTTGTAAATTAAATTGTCGTAATATCTCGATGTCAAAAATGTTTGTCCCCGCGACGTCATAAATCATCCCTCAAGTTTTTCTGTCCTAGATACAGCGCGTGTGAGTCGGACCTCGAAATTTAAAATTTCACCACTTCGACAATGGAGTTGCGTTCCTGAAGGGATACGATACATCCATCATCCCGCGGTTTTACATCTTGGCGGTATCTCGCGGTCTGATACATCGCGGATACTTTGCAGCTCGTATTTCTCGTCCAGCGCGAAAAGATGCAACCCGGCATCGCCGCCGGCGTTCCTGAATGGATTAGTATAATGCAACCGCGGGTCCATTTATCCGGAAGAATAATCCGGAAGAGCGAGCCGGAGGGTGGTTTCGCGCGTAACAAGAGAGAGAGAGAGAGAGACGGAAGAATCCGTTGCAATCGGGAAAAACCCCCACAGGGAAGAAGAAATCTTGCGCGATACCGGCGATTTATGGCGACAAGAATGCCGCAAAACCGCGCACTGTATGGATGAGCTTTAAAGGACCAAGAGTAGTATCAGATTTTAGCATCGCGCTGATTTATGAATTCATAAATCTATGGTATCCTAACTCTTCTAATCTCCACAATATCTGAACACGAGCGTTGATGTCGTATTGGTTGGATATGGAATTAAATGTTTTTGGAAATAAAAATTCTAGATGTTTTTACGACGTAGCCAATAGATCATTTCGACAAATTTATTACGATGTTGCATGTTTCTAAATAAAACAAAAATCGAGAGATCAGTAATTTAATATTTACCGATCAGATTGGTGCACTTATGAATTCATAAATCTATGGTGTCCTAACTCTTCTAATCTCCACAATATCTGAACACGAGCGTTGATGTCGTATATGGAATTAAATGTTTTTGGAAATATTCTAGATGTTTTTACGACGTAGCCAATAGATCATTTCGACAAATTTATTACGATGAAAATAAAAAAAAATTCTAGATGTTTTTACGATCGTAGCCAATAGATCATTTCGACAAATTTATTACGATGTTGCATGTTTCTAAATAAAACGAAAATCGAGAGATCATTAATTTAATATTTACCGATCAGATTGGTGCACTTATAAATTCATAAATCTATGGTATCCTAACTCTTCTAATCTCCACAATATCTGAACACGAGCGTTGATGTCGTATATGGAATTAAATGTTTTTGGAAATAAAACATTCTAAATGTTTTTACGACGTAGCCAATAGATCATTTCGACAAATTTATTACGGTGTTGCATGTTTCTAAATGAAACAAAAATCGGGAGATCATTAATTTAATATTTACCGATCAGATTGGTGCACTTATGAATTCATAAATCTATGGTATCCTAACTCTTCTAATCTCCACAATATCTGAACACGAGCGTTGATGTCGTATATGGAATTAAATGTTTTTGGAAATAAAAAATTCTAAATGTTTTTATTTCCAAATAAAACAAAAATCGGGAGATCATTAATTTAATATTTACCGATCAGATTGGTGCATGATAGAATGGAATAAAATTGCCGTTGACGTTTAAGGAGAAAGATCTCTGAATAAGCTTTGAGACAGATTTGACGTGTCGGGAATTCGTGACAATTGCAGAGAGATCCGAACAGATTCATGAAGTATGAGGAATGTGTTTAGCGTGGAAGTAAGAGATAGACGGAGGAGAGAGAGAGAGAGAGAGAGAGGGGATGTTGAGAAACTTGAACAGATGACATCGATCAGAAACGACGTCTCCCGCGGGAGATCCCATTCGCTTTGCAGCTCCAGGTGAATCTCGGCAAATCTGCGCATGCAAATCGTTGATAAACGACAATCAACAGGTGCCGAAAGGTCAGCAGGCCATTAGGCTCTTAGCCAGCCGTCGTTACCGCAAGATTGCGTGCGCCAGCTCGAAGTGGCCGGGTCATCATCGAAAAACCTAATGTTTTCCGATCGTAGACGATAAGCTAGATCGATTTTATCTACAGTTAGAAGCGACTTTAAATAGCCTTTTTTGCGAATTTATAGCTTCCAAAATTATATAAATGACAGATAACCCCATGAATGGTTTATTGGCCGCTTAAATTCGTGACTTTTGCGTCTGCTTGTCTCTAATTTGAATTTCAGAATTTTGTGCAAGCTATTTGGATTGCTAGATGAGTTGCGAACGGCCTCTGTCTCGAAGTTTTCTCTCTTTAACGGCAATTAACTTTGCGAGTTCCAAGTATCTATTAAACTAAGTTTTATGGAACTTGTAGGAGATGGCCTGCGTTTTATTCTCGACGACTGGTCGTTTCCATCCAGACATGCAAATTGCGTTCTTTAATGAATTTGTACAATGAACACGCAAACGTAATGTTTCATTAAGGTCTCAGAATTTCGAAAATGTCATCGTTTCTCATAAAACTCTATCGTCATCGATAGAGGAAGAGGAAGAAAGACTTCGATATATCGTGCTAAAATCGCATCGTGCAACAACTGCAAACTTGACGAAAAAGTTTTTCCGGTACATTGAGTCCGGATTATCCGTTTGGGATACGATAAGAGATGTTGGCAGCTATCGTGTTTCTTTTTCTTTTTTTACTTCGCGATCGCCCTCGATATTTTCCCGATGGAGACACTCAGCTGATCTGCCATTCAAAATTAACCCGCGTCATTTTACCAGTCAAGTGAAATTGACACGAAACATATATTGATGAAATATAGAGTATAATATTTTAAATTTTCCTTATTTATATAAAATATTACAATTATTTAAATAAAACAAATTAAATTTAAATTATTTAAATAAAATAAATTAAATTTGAATTATTTAAATTACTTAAATAAAATTTTAATTATTCAAACAACATATAAATTTGTTTTTCAAACACGAGTCTGCTAATCGATTATGCGCGATTGAAGCAAAAGGAATAAAAAAATACATATTTAATATATTATATCGATACACACCGACTATTTTTTTTACGTCAAATTGATTCTGTCTCAACGGTAATTTATGCATCTACAGATTTTTTGTCTAAAAATTAAACATTTACATTTCTCCTATTATTTTAGTATCGCGTTTTTCTACGAATCCGTTTCTTCAGAGTCGCACGGAGAGAGAAGTCGCATATGAAAGTTACACAGCGTTTCTTCTCTGCGGATCGCTCGGTATAAACGTCTTTAGTGTGAGGATTTGAAAGACGGTCGTAGCGTCAATATTTGAGTTGAAGCTTAAACGTTCCTCCTTCGTTGGAGCCTCGCGCGGTTTTGCGAAGCTCGTTTCACTGCCGGCAATTGGTATCTCATTAAGACGACTTCCTTACTAGAACGGAAGTAAACCGAGAGCTCGGTTGAAGAAAGAGAGAGAGAGACTTTCCTTCCCCGGATATTATAATGAACACTCATCGGGTTCTCTCTTCGCGCGGTTTCAACGACATTATTTTTCTCGAGATCGAGCTCCGAGTTCTTACATCGAGAGAGATCACGAGATAACTTCTAAATTAAATAGAAATTAAATGGAGAACTTTCCGATGAGATGGTATCTCTCGTTGTATTAAAAATCTGCTGAATATTCGAAAAGACACAATCGCAACATTATAACGATCCCCCGATATTATACATTTCAACATCTTGACAGGACGAAACTTTGATCTTAAAGAAGGGTCGCGCAGAGAGAAAGGAGAAATGTATTCGCAATTTCCGCAAAGATTTCCCACTATATAAAGCGTAGAAGAAGTTTGAATAAAGATCCCGCGTTCGCCGAGAGACAAATGTCTTGTTAGAAAATTTCAAGTTATTCGAGTTTCCACGCGACGTTACTTATTGATCTAGAGCCAAAGGTCGTTGCATATTTATTCATGCCGCGAATACGCCGTTACTCATTCAGTTGCCTACGCTTTTCAAAGATTTAAGCGCAGCGCGCGCGGGCCTGTCCGCATAAATAATTCGCGTTGATCGTCGATTTTCATAGTCGACGTGCGATATTCTGCGCGTATATCGTCGACTAGATCAAATTTAATCGCGCGATGTAATTGGCCTTTCATTAGCGGCACATTAATGCTACCTGCAAAATCATTCACCAACTATAATATATATATATATATATATATGCATTGCAGTTTCTCGATTTCTCGATCGAACGCGATGATCCAAATGGACGGCTGTTAAATTCCGCAATCACCGAGGCGTAATATGTCTGTTCGAAGCGATTCATCGCTGAAATTATCCATGTCCCGACTGCGGCCATTTAATTTGTTTATGGCTATTTATAGTTGTTTACAGCCATTATATATGTAGGAGCTTGTGTTTTCGACAATTTATTATAGCGATGCAATAATATTTTGCGTCATAAATTATGATACAGTAGTAATAATAATGATGTGCATCTGTGTCCTCAAATATCTTCCGAATTATTGAATTTTTTATTTTTCTCAAACTTTAAATTGCGGAGGAAAGAAAACCTTACGCGAGAAAAATCTGTTCGTTATTTTTGTGCCACGTGCGCAACATAATATTGTATGATATAATAAAATTACAAGCAACTGTGCGAGCGAGTAGATGAAATAAATTCTTCTCGATTTTCGAAACAATTGGCACGATGTGATATTTGTATTCTATTGAAATTTAATGGATACGACATTTTAAAAAGTTTTCTATTTTTATCGCCGCAATTTCGTAATACTTTGAGATATGCATTATACATACCTGAACTTCTAAGGCATGGTAAGCAAATATGAGGCCAAGCAGTATCACAGTAGACACAGAGATCAGGGTTTTCAGTGCTGTCGAGTAAAACGAGGCCTGAAACATACGAGAAATCCATATATTATATACACGTATCTATGAAATTATTTTATATTTATTTTACACACACCCACTGTTGAATTACTCCAAAAAATTTGCGATTAAAATATATATATATGTGTATATATATATATATATATATATATATATATATATATATATTGATAACAATTATTTTAGCATTTCGATATTATAGAGAATTATATTAAATTATAGATTCGGAAAATCTATATGTGTATGTATATTGACGAATTAATAATCACACTGGAATAATTAAATGCAAATTATGAGATTTAACTGCGCTTTGATTGCTGATTCTTTTATACACGTGGAACAATAAATTATTCATATAGTTTTTAATTCGCGATTAAAAAAATGCCAAATGTTAAGAAAAAATAAAATCTCTCTTTTCTCTATTTTTGCATTTTAAAAAGACAGTCGAAGAATATAAGTAAATCAAGGTAATTAATATTACGTCCAAAAGGAATCGTTGGAAGAATAAATCCATTAGATCCTTTATCACTAATCTTTTCCACGTCATTAAACATCCGTCGAAACGGAATCGAAAGTTGTCGATAACCCGATTAATCTTTCTTAATCGCATTAAAAAACTTGGGCATAAAATGCATTTCTCGGACGCTTAATAAATCTGACAAATTCACGTCCTTTAATTTACTACGCGGTTTCCGGAGTTTCGAAATTTGCGCGCAGGCTAATTCCTGTTCAGTTTCGCAAATCGCGGGACATCGTGTGTTATAACTTATAACGAGATCCAAGTTGTATACAGCAATTTCCGCTAATCTGATCGCATTGTCGAATGCATCTGTTTTTGTTTGCACGAGTTTAAGCAGGCTTGAGACAGAGATATGCGCCCTGGTTCCAAAGTTTACAGAGCGTTTCAAGCACCGTTTCTCTCTCATCCGAGAAGAGATCTTTGACCAACTCAAAGTTCAAATCACCAACCATCCGTCCAACATAAAGTATCTTTGTAACCGAGACTTGTCTCGAAATCTGGTTAAATTGACTTGTTAAATCGACCGTCGCGCAATAAGTTACAGCAGATTATTCGCGACCGGAAAACGAGATTGCGATGTCGAACTAACCACCAACGTTCTCTTCTCTCGATTCGTTTCTCTAACAAGGAGTAATGTTCGAAGATAGATATCCTTCTTGCGCGTAACGAATATCGGTCGTTTTTATTTAAACGGTTTTCTTGTTATTATACCCGCGAGATTACATTCTCGAGGTATCACGAGAGAAGGCAATTTGAGGGAATGAATAAAATGAAATCCGAATACGTAAACGAATGTATTATTTGGTCAAAAAGCTTTCACACAAGAAATTCTTGTATCGTAAAATTAGACCTAAATAAAATTATATAGGTAATAATCTAGACATTTTTATAAAAATACGTATATCATCTTTATATCTGCATCTCAAACGAAAAGAGTCTCATCTTTACTAAATTATCTAGAATAATGTTCAGATAATTTGGTTTAGAGCCATAGCACATAAAAATACTTAAGTAGTAGAACTTGGTAGCGATAAAAGCTTATAAAAGGAGTAAGCGATAAAAACTTATAAATAAAAGTATGAATATATTTTTACATCCCTTTTATAATTTCCATTTTTTTATAACTGTGTTTACATATAAGCGATCTTAAAAATAATATCTGGAAATTATCTAGATGATTCGCTATATAATTTTATCTTTTGCATACAAATTCTCATCTCATCTTCATCCATAGCTAATTGTACAATCATCCAAATTGTACAACGCTGCTAATTTTTTATTCACCCTTTCTATATGTATAACTACACCTTTCGCCTTTCTCGTATCTGGTCGCCGCATAAATGGATTAAGGGATTAAGGAGGCGCGTCGTAAAATATGAACGCGAAATCCATTTTCGCCCGACCTTAGTTGACTTTACTAGTGCCCCACGGTGTTCGTGGATACGCGAAATTACACTATCGTGCCATTATGCGGCGCGTATAAACGTGATTCTTTCCGAATGATTACTGCCGCGAAGAAGTCCGCCTTCTCGATAAATGTCACCGAGTGAAAACGAATATTTGCGAAACGGCAGGAAACGTTTGCAATCTTCCACGTTAAGTCTCGCGAACAAAATGTTTCAGAATATTAATATTAATGTTTGCTCGGAAAATAATGCCCCACTTTTTTCTCTCGCGGAGTCTGTTTATTCAGTGGATTCGAAATTTATACATGGATGTTTTCTCTTTACATATATTTTGTTTTTCAACGTAATCTGCATCAACTTCTATATCTCGCCGATACCGGCATAATACAAGTGCATGTTTGCCTTTGTCATATCAGCTCTTGTTCTGTTCACATATAGCCATGTCCTCTTTACTTGAATCGCCCCTTGTCATCCTCAAACCTTGTATCGCGGATATATCTTCAAGTTAAATCTTCAAGTGGCCTAAAAGACATATTCCGGAAACTGGAAAGAGCCAGATCGGGATTATAGGATGAATACGAGAGCAGTTTAGCGATTGCTTTGATATCCAACTTTTTGGGCCACTTAATAATATGTATTCCGCGAAAGAAAATTTGAAAAATATGAAAGTTGATGGAGAAAATAATATATGTAAAGAGAAAACACATCCATTATTGTGTGTAAATTTCAAACCTGTTGAATAAATAATTTTTGAGATAAAAATTCATCATAATGCAAAGTGCAAGGGAATATTCACAGAATTTTTTTTACTTTAAGTTTAAAACTATCAGACATTCGTGACAATTTGAAAACCATGAAAAGTCAATTTGTGAAATTGTCTGTGCGTTAATGCGATTCTAAATACAAATTACAATCATCCGTTTGCCAAAAATGGTCGACTAAATTTACCGTAAACGTAATTCAATGGGATGATCCAATTATCGGTTATCGCCTCTTAAAGATGAAAACCGTAAGCTCGATGTCACATGCGGTTACCGGGATGCGCTGTAATAAATTTACGAGCAGCGACGCCAAAGGCCGGTATATATATCGATACAGAGCGACCAGGAAGGGTGGAATGAAAGGGGCAGAGGGAGGATTATGCCGCTCGCGTGGTCCATGAATTAATGCGATTGCATCTCATCGAGGGCCGATTTTCTCGGGAAAACCGCGTCGGCGCATTTCCGCTTTCACGAGAGGAGACACGATTATTAGTTCCATCCGGCGAGGATCTGCAGATAACGCGCAGAGTTTATCTATCTCTATTAACAGAGGGTAGGGTATCTTTACACACGGGATATCTTTAGAACGCGACTCCTCTTTTTTCGTTCTACTTTTTATTTATTACATTTATCTTCGTTTTATTTTCCGTTTTATTTATACCGGGAAAAAGCAGCGCGTGTCACTTCTTCACGGTTCTCCGCAGCGACGCGAGAATCCAAAAGACGAATAAAAAAAGAAAGGGAGAAATAAAAATCTAAAAATGTAAAAAACGTCAGTTCACGGATAGTCTCTGTTGAGTAAAAAAAAAGAAAGAAAGAAAGAAAGAAAGAGTTCGAGGTGAAGACGTGCGGGTGTGAGAAAAGAGCATCTGAAAGACATCGAAGTGTGTTCTTTGAAAAGTTTCGCGACACGAGTTTCGCTCCTTATTTCCTCGCAGACTTTCTAGCCGAATTCTAGGTATTCTCTTCCGGCGCTCCCGAAAACTTCCGGAACGGGTAATCATTCCCCTTAAGGGGATCCTAAGCTAAGTTTCACTCCTGTTTTATCGACACAATGTGAGGTTAGATTTAGCTATAAATATTGACTATATGGATTGTTTTTTATCCGAGATTAGAACGCTTCGCCGTTTGCTAAAATTAATACTTTAATTTGTACAGGAAAAAGACTTATCAATCTGTATAGTCTCTTATATATCTTGGTTACAGAATTATGAATGCTTAGAATTCATAATACTGTAATCAAGATATATGAGACTATATCATTCCTGTTTTATCGACACATGTGAGGTTAGATTCAGCTATAAATCCATTTATTGGCTATAAGGATTGTTTTTTATCCGAAATTAGAACGCTTCGCCCTTTGCTAAAATTAATACTTTAATTTGTACAGGAAAAAGACTTATCAATCTGTATAGTCTCATATATATCTTGGTTACAGAATTATGAATGCTTAGAATTCATAATACTGTAACCAAGATATATGAGACTATATCATTCCTGTTTTATCGATCGACACATGTGAGGTTAGATTCAGCTATAAATCCATTTATTGGCTATAAGGATTGTTTTTTATCCGAGATTAGAACGCTTCGCCATTTGCTAAAATTAATACTTTAATTTGTACAGGAAAAAGACTTATCAATCTGTATAGTCTCATATATCTTGGTTACAGAATTATGAATTCAAGAATTCTGCAACGTAGATAAATGAGACTATACAGATTGATAAGTCTTTTTCCTGCACAAATTAAAGTATTAATATGAACAAAGGGCGAAGCGTTCTAATTTCGGGTAAAAAACAATTCGTATAGCCAATAAATAGATTTATAGTTTATCTAACCTCACATTTTGTCGATAAAACAGGACGGAAATCACAGACTTGTCCAGAACGTTTAGGATCACCTTTAAAGGGGTCCGACGATCGATTAGGCCAGTACGTGCTGAATCCCGAACCCGGCGATTCCGGCATTCCTATTTGTTTCGCGTCGACGACGAGCCTCCGACCTCGACGACGATGTCCTAACTCTCGGATATGCATTCAGATCGCGCCGGCACGTCCCGATGTGCCGATTATATTAGCTACTCCGCCCTCCTCGCATACGGAAATGGTCGGCACCGATTATGCATGTCTCGCTCGTCGGTTATATTTTCCTCCTTCCTTTCGAGAGAAGCAATTCTCGTCACGAAAGATATTTTTCGTCGTCTCGTTTCCCTTTGGCGAGAAAAACATATTTTTTACCGTCGAAAATATTTACTATTTGATATCAAATATTAAACTCTTTATTACAAAATATAACTGTATTTTTCTTTTGTGACA